CAGTCACTATTTGGCATTGAATACTAAACACTGGACAAATTAATTGATATCTAAAATAATTAATACTACTAGATTAACTTTCTTAAGCATAGATTTTCAACCTCTATTTCTTTCCCATTTCTATGCCATATTCCAAATCATATTTAATTGATTTCTCAGTGTATGATTTGAATTTCAATCCGCATAATTTATGGCTCCTCACAATGTTTGATTTTCCCACACTTGGAGAGCTACCAATAAGCAGCTGATTACATTTGAAAGCGTAATGAGGCCTAAACCAAATGCATGAGAGCAGCAGCAGCAGCAGCTTACGTTGCAGCAAGTGCAGGCCATCGACTTGAACTTGAACTTTGAACTCCTGCTCTTGTTGGCTTAGCTATGACTTATAGCTTATGGCCGGATTAGCCACTCCACCTTTTGATGCTGAGCTGCTAAGCTGCTAAGCTCTCCCTCCCCCTAAAGCCTAATTGGCAGTTTTGCCTTTAAAGGCCCGAAGCAAATAGTTGACATTTGGATTTGGCTTTGGCTTTGGCTGGATCGCCCACAACATCCGTTCGTAATGCTGCGGTCTTTGGGCCCAACCCATTTGCGAATTCTTTTGGCCAAAAACTTCAACGCATAACTTGACTTGGCAGCGGATGTAAACAGGCCAGGGAGTGAGCGTTCCATTCCTTCTCCCGCTTTGCATAATCTCGGAACACAGGTGACTGGGGCTGCTGTGCATATATGTATAGATCCATTAATACGTGCGTACGTACATAACGATAAATGTATAAATAAACACCAGAAGGGGCCATTCCCCCAGTGGCAGCCGCAGCCACGCATAAATCTCACGTGCAAATGTGGAACAAAGCTCATCGGGCATCAGAGAGATGCCTCCCAGGCCTCTGTTCCCTCCAGTTTCAGTTGTGGAACACACACAAAACCATATAGAATCAGCATCATCTCTGGCCATGGCCATCTCATCGCATCTCGCGCTTCACATCGTTTCAATTTCGTGTTTGCGCTTTTCGCTTTCCTGTTCTTTTTTTTATTATTATTTTGTGCGCAACTTTAATGGGAATCAACACCAGGTGATTAAATTTAAATTCGGTTCTGGAAATTCTTCTTCCACTGCGGTTTTCGACCGATTGTGAGAGGTGAGTCAAGCGCGATTTTAACCTACTTTCCTTCAGCACCCGAATTCCGTGGATGCCACTTCTCTTTTTGGCCCACAAAAAGAAAAATTGGTAGCTAGCTGAGGTAAATATTATTAAAAAAAAACTTGGTAAGAGAAGAGGTTTGATTATGAGATACTCTGTAACTGTTGAAAATAGGATCGAGGATTAAGAGCCTTGTCTTTAATGGAATGTTTTTAATTGAGGAATATGTAAACGAGACCAATGCTTTTATCTACCTTTTCCCCTAAAAGTTTTCTTTGAAAATGCATTGCTTAAATAATCTTTATTAATTCGGCCTCTAAATTCTCAAATTTTCTTCTTATTGGGATTACAAACTCCATCCCAAAACCACTATTCCCTATACTCTACTCTTTAGAACTAGGATGTGTTGTCTAGAATGGCCTGCAGAACTTTTGCATTGCTGTTGGTAAAAAAATAAAACCTGTTGGCCTCATTCGACAGACTACCGCCTGCGGTCAAGCTAACTGTGTTTTGCGGCATACACAATATCCGATCCGATCAGAGATTAAGGCAAATATATACATATATATAGAGAGCGCCGCCAGAATGCAAAACATCGAAATGGGTTGCCGCCGTAACAAATGGGAACGGGTTTCGTTAACGGCCATTTTCGCGTATATCGAGTGTTTATATATGCAAAATGCAAATCCCATTCCAGATCCAGATCCAAACGTGGGGCATCAATTAATTTGTAACGCCCACGGACAGGACAAGACAATCCTACCGTTTCCAGGTGATCCATTCTCCGCCTTCGATGGACAGCAAACATGGCTAACGAGCTGCTGCTGCTGCCGCATCCTGATACTCGCTCTCGGCCAATTTATGTAGATTTATTTGTGTAACACTTTAGCCACAAAACACACCTTTGATATCTCTCTTTTCGCCGGTTAGCAATCTCACCGGAGGAAAACAGCATTCCTGATGCCACAGCAAACAGCTCAAGCCAAACTTGAAAAATAGCTTAGAGAGATATGTTGTCCGATTGCAGCTGCTGCTGCATTCCAATTCGAGGAGACAACACCATCTTCATCTTGGCAAAAACGGCTTTTATATGGTCAAATGGGCTGTACAATTTGTTGGGCATTTTCTGCATTTCTTTTATGCCTTTGACAGTTTTCCAAATCGCCTTCAATTCGCTACAATTGTATCTGTACTTCTCCTGAGATTGCCGCTTGCTCCACTTGCTTTCCATGAGAATGGGCACAACTCTCTCGCTGGTTTTTATGCTGTTTTGTGTGGCCATAAATAAATGGCCAATCGATGCCGCAATCGAATGCAAATGAGTGAAAGAAAAAATGCAAACAATTAACAAAAAGCCATGGCTCTGGAGGAGAGCAAAACGAACGGTAACGAAAACCGCGAGCGGAGGCTAAAATTTATGTGTAACAATGCGAGCAAAAAAAAAATACAGAGAAACATGGTAGCAACATTTAGCCCGCACTGTTATGCAATTTGCTATAGCCAGGCCAGAGGCACCCTTCCCTCATCCCTCATCCCTCATCGCTCCATGCGATGCCAATTGTTTCTGCGACCGCGTTGCACAAAGCCGAGATTTATGCATATTAACGTCAAGTCAAAACGCTGACCCAAAACTGCAAATCTAACAGCAGATGCAGATGCAGATGCAGAAATCAAGCGTGGCAGCAACAGAAGCAACAAAGGCAACAGTGCTGCCAAAATATTGATTCGAAAACTGCTCAAATATATTCAAAAAGGTTGAAAATTAAAGTCATAGTTAACAAAATAATACAGAAGATTTAAAAAGTCGTTCAGCATACAAAAAGAGTTATGCAACTTATGTAAATAACTTTGACAAGATCTCTAGAAGGATTGGCTATGCAACTGGTTCATTTCCTGGTTAAAAGGACCAATATTTCGGAGACAGGCAGCTTAAATTCTATATTGTAACTTAAATAAAATATATTTGAATTATTAAACAGAACAGATAGAATAGAACAGATTCCCCAAACAATATTTTGTGTCTAAAAATGACAAACTCTCATCTCTGCACCAGCAAAACAGCAAACAAAAGTCGAGCACGCCGGCAACAATGGGTTAACAATGGGTCAACTTTCCTTGGTGCCGGTGCTGACTTTGATAAATGTTAACCGAAAGCAACCAAAAACTGTTATTGTTGTTGCTCTTGCTCTGCCAACGGCTGCTGTTGTCATCTCCATTGTTGCTCCGCTGTGGGTGTTGTCGCAGCAACATCATCGCCACACCAGCAACACTTTCCCAATTAGGCACCTTAACTACGTGTTTTTGGCCAATGTGACACACTTGCGTCCCCATATGCTGGTCGCCATATGGGGAAGTTAACTTAATGGCTTAAAGACCTCAAAATCGTTACATTGTTACCTGTCGGTGGATGGTGTGAAGTGTTTCGGAAGAAACACCCAAAAGAAACGTTTCGGTTTCTTAATCTGTCAGAAGATCTTCCGGCTAAACAGTCATAAATTGGTGGAGTGTAATGTGATCTTCACGAATGATATGCCCTCGGGAATAATCATAAGAATAAGTACAAGAATCTAGAAGTGAGAATCATGAAGAGGCGTTAAAGAACGGTATACAGGTCATTATAAGCACAGAGGAAAAAATAAGTTAGAATAGGGAAAAGACTAGAAGATTTTTTGACTTATATTGTCTAAATAAAATGTGTCATTATTATAAAGTCAGAGGTACTTTCAACCCAATACCAATCTTTAAATATCTTTAAGGAAGTTAATTGCAAGCACACGTTTTTTCCAAGTTTTCTCAATTTAAAGTTTTTATTAAAGACTCCAGTATGTCTTGTATCAATCTATAAAATCCCGAGTTTCTTTTGTTCTCTAAACTAATTCTTCAAGTGCAAACAACTAGTGTCCGATTCACATTAACAAAATTAGCGTTCATCAAAGCAACATTAAGTTTTTTGAAAGAATAAAAGCTGTCCATAAAAGATCTCTGGAACTACTCTACACTCATTAAATTACCACAATAAAGTTCTACACAGGAAATTTCACGGAATTACAAATCGTTCTCTAATTTGTGTTTGGGAAATTATCAAAATAAATGGCTTAACTCCTTAGAAGGAAACCAGTTTGCCATTGAATCATTTCTAGAAGCTTTGTCGTCTTTCTGGCCAAATAAAGCAGTCACTTCCAAAGCCATAAATGAGTTCGTTTGATTTGTGGAACTTCCTTGGTTTTTCGCTGAACACCAACTGTGACAGAGTCAACATGTTGCAGCATGTGGAGCCTGGGACCAGGCGGGGTTTTGTTGCATTTAGAAAGTCATTTTCATGGAAAAACAAAGTAAACAACACAATCTGCCAAGTGCGGTGGCAGCTGCGATTACCCAACGGCAATCGAGGGCCTCTGCCGCCTGTCGAATGCTTGACAATCAGAGTTAATTATGTGGCTGTCACAGTGCACTCCCTGTGCCAAACTATCGAGCCACCAAATCCCCAACAGAAACCAATTTCCCAGAGAGGGAGCAGACAGCCACATCATCATCGTTGGCTAAATTTCAATAATTCCATTATCAGGATGAAGATTGATTGATAAGCCGGCCGTCTGACCAAATGGCAGTCTGTGGCCATGATTTGGCCACATCCAGCAGGCGGCTCAGCCTCTCCACTCAATCAATATTGAGTCATGCGGCAGAAGCCCAGCCAAAAATTGTGTTGCAGTCAGGGAAAGTTAACTTAACTTAAGTGAGATTGCGCAATTTCTTTTTCGTTTTTTTTGCAAACGAAAGTTTAGGTTTATGAACTAACCAACGCGTCATCACCATCATCATCTGTAAGCCATAACTCACGACTGCCTTTTTCCATTACAGAATATGGCCTAAGGCTGTTCGTCGACAAACGAGCAACGAGAAGCCCCCACGATGTCGTCCTCCATCTGTGCGCACTTCACCCAGAATGCCTGGAAGAAGGACCTCTGCTCGAACTGCTTCAAGTCCAAGGATGAGCACAAGGCAGCCGCCGCAGCAGCCGCCTCCAAGTCCGGTGGGAGCAGTCACAAGGCGGAGAGTCAGGTGAAGATGGATTATCCCAACAAACACAAGACGCCAGCCAAGAGCATTATAAAGAAGGCCTTCGGCGTGAGACTGACCAGCTCCAGCTCTGGCTCCAGCTCCAGCTCGAGCAAGTCTGGGAGTTCAAAGAGCGGCAAGGTATGCTTTCCCAAGCAGCTGCACGAGATCATTGGCTATGGTGGCGAGTGGTCCGACGATGATGACGACGACGATGATCACGACTTTATGAACCTGGGCAATGAGCACGATGACATGGCCATCACCGAGACGGATGACGAGGAGACGGTGGAGCTGAAGAGGATCACGCGGGCCAACACAGACTTCAATATGAATAATGGCAACCTGCTGGGTGATGCCGAGGACAATATCAAAAAGTCCTTTGCCGCCTTGAAGCTGGGAGCTCCCCAGGTGGACAAGGAGGGTAAGAAGCAAACCCTCACGATCAATGTGATGCCCTTTGGCCAGCCCCTAGGAAAGAGTGCTGCCTCTCCTGCGGCCAAAGGTGCGGCCACCGCCACAGCAGTCACATCCTCTGCTGGAGCAACGCCAGCCAAGGCCAAGCCAGCCACCGTAACCACAACAGCCATTAAAACCAGTAGCAGCAGCAGTAACAGTAGCACTAGTACGGGAACAGCCAGTGTCATCAAGAAGGTGACCACCACTCTTACGCCCACACTGACCATGACCAAGAGCAGCACAACCACAAGCGCAGCCAGCACAGTCGCCACAACCACATCCTCGCGAGATGGCAAGGACAGTCCACCCATCGAGCGGGCCATGGAGAAGTCGCTGCTGGACGAGATCTCCGAGACGCTGGAGCAGAACCACAAGCAGAGTGAGACTGGAACCACCAGTGGAGTCTCTTCCGGCGGAAGCGGAGGCGTTAACAGCCACGTTTCCGGCACCAGCAACAAGATCAAGTTCGAACTGAGTGCCCTAAGCGATGCCCCAAAGCCATTTCTCGACCTTAAGAAGCCCATCGCACGGAATGCGCCCATCACCCGGGACCAGGCAAAACCCAAAGTGAATGTGTGCCACAAGTACTCGGACACGGACAGCAACTGCTCAGACACGGAGAATGGGGTGTCTGCTTACTACGATGTGGTGGAAACGCAGCTGAGCTACGAGAACCTGCCCGATGGCAAATACTCAGAGCAAGTGGGTGTGGCCACCACCGCCCAGACGGACGCCTCTGGGAACTCGCATTACTCCAGCTCGCAGTACATCACGGATATGTTGCTCAGCTCGAAGACCCGTGCCGCCAGCTACAACCTGCATGAGGGCAACTTCATGACCAGCAAGATCACCTCCGACGGTCTGATCGTGACCAAGTGCAGTTCGGATGATGCCCTCGACTCCACGGGCAGCAGCTTCGATGGCAGCTCCGACGAGGAGAATGCCTACAACATGATCCGCAGTGAATCGGACTCGGGCATCGGCATCAGTCTTGGCAGTGAGTACAAGAACGCAAGCGCGGTCAAGGGAGCGACCAATCAGCAGCTTCTGGTGGAGAAGAAGCTCAGTGCGAGTACCAATAACTCAGACTACGAGGACATCCAGGTGGGAGATCAGGCGGTGACCAAGCCGGCTGTCAAGAGCCGGGAACTCCACGGCGAACCCGATGGCAGCGCCGATCCGGACAACAGCCTGGAAGTGAAGCAACAGCAGCAGCAGAAGGAGCAGCCGGAGCAGCAGGTGCTGCCCGCCCTGCCCAAGTCACCGCCACCGCCGATGAAGATCGATGCACGGCCTTCGTTTCTGCATGGCCTCAAGAAACCAGAGTTACCAGTAAAGCCACTGGTGACCAACAGTAGCAACTCCAGCTCCGTTGCTGGCACTAGCTCCAACAGTCATTCCCCGCTGAAGAGCTTCCTGGGCAAGAGACAGCCCAGTTGCGCCGAGCAGCAGTTCATCAGCCAGCTGCAGTCGGCCATCTCCAAGTCCAGCGAGAGTCTGCTCTTGGCCAAAGAGAGTCTAGCCGCCGACGAGGCTAAGCTGAAAAAGGGCAAGGCCCCGAATCCGCCGCCGGAGCCGAAGCTGAGCGCTCCGCCCACGCCGGAGCGGGACTACAGTCTGGTAGTTGAGTTCGAGCAGGCGACGAAAGCGGCCGCAAAGCCAGCGGAAAAGGCCACATCACCGAGCTCGAGTGATGTGTCATCCGGAGATAAATCATCAACCGTTGGAGCTGCCCCAGGAAACTCTACAGGACCAGCCACAGTGACAGGATCACCTTCTGCCAACAATAGCAGCCTGTACACCCGAAAGCCCGCTCTGCCAGCGGCCGGAGCAGCACCTGTCATCCGGGAGAAGGACAAACGTGAACGGGCCGTGATCAATCCCAAATTCCGCAGTCTCAACACCTTCGTGATGCAACGGGCCAATGCAGCCAAGCAGCTGCAGCTGCAATCCGCCAGCTCGGTGCTGAGCTTGAAGCAACCGATGACGCCAGAGCCCACGCCCCGCAATCAGCGTCACCTGTCCATGTCGGAGGAGTGCCTGGCCGCAGCTGGACTCGACAAGAAGTCGTCGTCGCCCTCGGCCTCGTCGCCGCAGAAGCAAAAGTCCAAGTTCTCGATCAAGAAGTTTCTGCGCATGGGCAGCAACAGCGGCAGTGGCTCCAAGTCCGGAGAATCTCTGAACAAAAAGGAGTCGAGTGTTTACACAGAGATTTGCACCGGCACGGAGGAGGGCAGTGCCTCTGGCAAGCCCCGCCTGGTAATTATCCATCCCATTGACATAAATCCCACAGCCGTGGAAGTGGTGAAGGATATCACCAAGACCAGTGACTCTGTGTCGGCTCAGACTGTGGCCGTGGTTACAGCGAAGCCACCGGCTCCGCCGCTACGCTCCAGTGCCAGCGAGGGACAGCGTGCCCATGAGGCCAACAAGCCGGCACGTCCTCCGCCACCCAAGAGTGCGGAGCTGCGACGTAAACAGAAGACGGAACTGACGGCCACATTGAGTGCCAGCAGTGTGGAGTCCACAATCCTGGCATCGGGCAATGGTTCCGGATCCGTCAAGCTTAAGGCCGACAATGTCTATGCCAATTTGGGTGAGTAAAAGAAAAGGATTTCACTTTAATATTTAAGAATATATAGCCTGAACCTTTTAAAATTATTATAAATTACTTAATTACCTGGGAAATTCTTTCAAATATTATAAACTTTCACTGAACAAAGTTCAAACACATAGGCTTTAAAGTCTAAAACCTTTCCACACACTTGACTTTAATTGGAATTCGCACTCATACTCGTACCTCTATTTGTTTGGTTCACCTAGAATTGGACATTTTATGTCTGCGAAATTCCGCAAATCTTGAATGCTAGTTTCAATCTCGTTTCCATTGACCCAAATCCAATGAGGCGTGGGCGTTTCTCCCTCATCTCCTGCCAGCAATTTCTCCCCAATATGCGATCGCATTCCAAAAGAAAGCGTAAGCAAATCACGTTCCCTGACAGCGCCCCAAAAATATTCAGGGCGACCTTCAGAAAAACAGCCAGATATATGTGGGTCTGAAGGGTCTCTGGGCACTTCACCCACTTCTCTTGACTCGTTGACTTCAATTGCACGAATCGGAAACGTAACAAGAACACGTATAAAATCACCGTAAATGGCGAGAGCAACAACTTGGCTAGAACCAAACGAATCCAAACGCAGAACAAGTTACGCATTTTAATCAATATAACGGAGGTAGATGCGGAGGGAATACAGGTATACCTGGCCACTCATGACCATATCCGCCGCATCCAAACGAGTGTGATGAGCCACAGACAACCGGGCTCGAACTGGGTTAAGTGGCCAAAGCCAGAGAGCAAAATAGTTTGTTTGGCGAGATAAAAACAAATCGAAATGAAAATAAGCCAAGCGACCAGGCCAGGCCAATGAGGTAACCACATGTTGCTGGTTATCTGGTTTTAGCCAGACCAGGAATAGGATCGAGAACTGGAGAACTGAAAACCTGGTGAAAATATCGGACCAGAGACCCATTTTTTTTGTTGGCCTGACACTTTGCGGTCAACTGTGGCCAGAACTTGTTACACCTGCTGCTGCATCAGGCACATCTGGCACCTGGTAACTGGCAACTGGCAATCCACAGGCACGACTTGAGCGAGAACCATTTGTTAGAAATCTCGCATCCCAGAACCACCATAGAGAGACAGAGAGCAAACACATTCAACCTCAACCGACCAGCGCCAGTGCGAATTGTAATTTGGCACGAATTTGGGTCAAAATCGCAATTAGTACTCGCTGGTTGTCAAACCAGCCTCACCTGGGCAGGTGAGCTTTGATGGCTTTTCCACCACACTCTAGCGACCGGCAAACATTTGGCATGGCCCCATGAAGACCAAGAAAATTTGAGGACAGCCTGGTGGGAAATCTCATGAATAAATTAAGGCTAAGAAACATTCGAGCAAAAAAGAGAAAGAAACTCTTTATCGCTTTGAAAAATAGCCACTTTTATCGACTATTTAAGCTGTCCATGATAAATGGGCCAAAAGCTGGCAAGTGACTAATAAGTAGAACATTTGTACAAATTATTTATAATATGAATCGGGAAAGTTTACTAGTTAGGCAGTCCTTTTTTATTTATAGATTGCAGATTAAGTAGAATGGAAACCCTACATTCTTTGGGTTTTTAAGATGTTAAGAAAGTGAAGAGAGTTTATAAATAGAAAATATACTATAATACAATATATAAACAAGTGCTTAACTCACTCAGTAGTACTTACCTCTTTAATTAATACTTGTTTTTAAACAAAGTCTTATAAAAGTCTTTTCATTTATAGAACCAAAGACAGGTGATTCATCAAAGTCTTAATATGACTATTAAATCAATTATTTTACTCATTTAAATCATGCCAAGACAGCTAACTCTTTTCACATGATTCACTTCATGATAAACTCTAATAAACCTTTCACTTAAACCCATTTTCCCTACTCCGTTTCCAGGTGAGATCCGCTCCTCAATCGCACCGCGGAAGCCGGAACGCACGGCCAGCATGCGGGAGCGTGAGGCGCAGCTGGAGCTGGTGCGCAAGCGTGGCGTCCTCACCGACACTATTTCCATTTGCTCGTCAAACGGTGAGAATGTAGGAACGGATCAGGGCAAGGCACTGCCCAAGCCAACTGCCACCGGCTCTGGACTCCTGACAGAATCTACTGGAAAGTCTGCATCCACGGCCAACAGCCGGACCAGCACCTTCGAGCGAACTATGCCGCAAAAGAAGAGCGAACCGAAGATGTCCATCTCCAGCAAACTGGAGATCTTCGAGCAGCGCTCAAACTCTGGCGATGCCACGGACACGGCCCAGCGGAGCAGCCTGAAGGATTCAGTGCGCAAGATTAACAGTACCATTGATAGTTACCTGAAGGACAAGCGCGACTATGAGAACATGTATGAGTTCGTGAAGATGGGTTCACCGCCACCGAGCACAACTAATGGCCAAGCCACACCCACTTCTGGCTCGACCTCAACGCCTCCGCCGCCGCCGACGCGAAGCAACATAGATCTGGCCTCCGTGGCTGGTCAGAGATTAACCCAAGCCACGCGGCGTACTAATAGCCAGAACAATAACAATATCTACTCGGACACGGCCTCCATTGCCAGCTATACGCGCAGCGAATACGGTCCAGTGAGGAACTACGGATTGAACAACAGTTTGGGTGGGTATCAGATCAGCTATCTATATGTACAATCTCTTATATATTTTCCAATTTAATATATAATTTTGTATAGCCAATATTCCACGCATCATCTCCGCCTCTTATGCTGGCAGCGAGGTGGGTGAGTTCGACATCTATGCTCCTTATAGCTATTACGGCAGCGAGGCGGGTGGCGATGTGGCCACGGACATAAACGACAGCGTCTGGGGCATGCCACAGGTGGGTTCTGCTACAAAACATACTATATACTCAGCAGATATATACTTAAACTTTCAACTTGATCTTTAGGGCAACAAGAACCGCAGCAAGGCCACGAATCGTTTGCGCATGCGCAAGGGACGCAGTGTCGTGCACAAGACCATCGAGGATAACTACACCGCCGTGGTGGTGGCCAATCATGAGGCCCTCGCCCAGGTGCTAGATCAGGTGAGTGTTTCCTTTACATCGAAATCTAAACGAGGAATAACACTAACATATATCTCTTTCAAACTCACAGCTCCAGCAAACTCCCGTGGTGCCAACAGCCCTGCGTCCGCTGGCCAACGCCATCAACTTGCGCTACGAGGACTTCACCATTCTGGAGGGCGCCCAGGCTTTTGTGGTGGGCAAGAAAGCCTTCCATGCGGCACTCTGGAGCTCATCGCCGGTGACCTTAGCCCTTTCCGCCGACTGTAATCAGTTGGGTGGCGTGGGTGGTGAGCTGAGCCAGCTGAGCGGCGGAGTGAGCGATGTGCTTAATCCGGTTACCGAGTTCTGCGATTTGGTGCCCAGCTATCAGCTGCCTCTGATGCCCTCTACAGAGGTAACCCTGCTGCAGGCCACCATCTCTGTGCTGCCCAGATTGCAACTGGAGACTCTCCAGTCGATCGGAGCGATACTCAAGGGCAAATCGCAGGTGCTGGACAAGAGTAACTTCAATTTCCGCGGCTCCATTCCCAATCTCAGTGGCCTGAAGGATGGCAATGGAGCCAGCGCTGGAAATCTACGGAACGTGGTCTCTGTGCAGAATCTGAGTACCCTGAATGAGGAATCCCCTAGCATCACAGGCTCTGGAGAGGATGGTTCAAGTAATGCCAATGCCATGCCCGCATTCGATGATGTTATGACACGGGAGGTCGCCTTCATAATGCTGCAGCTGGTCAATGGCATGAAGAACCTACAGGCCAAGGCGATCGAAGAGACGCCGCTCAGTCTGTCTAATGTGGTGCTGTCCAAGGACATGGACAATAAGGACGCCCAGGCGCGTCTTTGCGTTCTGCAGGGGTGAGTTGAAACCAACTTTGAAGTCAAGAAACTTTACTTATTTATGTTATATTCCTGCAGCAACAACAACGATGATGATGAGCCCATGGGCACGCTGTGCAAGTGCGCCCATTCCGCGCTGACCGACATGCTGCCCGCCACCAAGATCACACCCGTTCTGGCGGACATCCTGCAGCAGGAGCGGGCCGAGTCACTATCCAAGGCCAAGGCCGTGCTGGAGTTTGTGCTGTGGGGTCCCTCGGATGTGGCACTTACGGGCTCTGTAAAGGAGCGGGAGCTGGCCCTGCAACGCTGGCTGGATCTGGAGCGGGCCACCGTGTTGCATGGTTTAGTACGAACTCGGGTGGAGTTGACCGTGTATGACGAGTGTCATTTGATGTTCCTCGTCCGGTCCACGGCCAAAATGATGAACGATGCGGCCAAGATAGTGTGCAGCTACCAACAGCAGGCAACGGCCAATGGATCGGCCAGCCAGGATTAGTTCCAGATGTTCTTCTAGTTAACCCCAAAACAACAACAAGGCTAAAGGAATTATCTTAACCATACTATACTATACGAATACGAAACTGTCATAGACACTTAGTCCATAGCGTCAACGAATGAAGCATATATAAATATATATTCTCAATCGCCCCATTTACGCATAAAATATATACTATATATTGCCCAGCGTGCCAAATTGTTTCGCGCGGAAATTGTCATGTAAAAATATATATGCCTATATCAAGCGATTTGTGCAACATGAATTAATTTGTAATCTACCTGTAAGTCACCTAATCTAAACGAATATATTTATACTTTCCTGTAAGCGTACATACGCTTTGTATACTTTATCGGATTGCAATTACTACATATGAGATAGTATGCCAACAATTTGAGTAGCAGAACAAAACAAAATTTGGTGTTTGAATAAATACATATACATACATATAAATATATATGATAAACATAAATAAATTACAGTATAAATAAATAAATGGAAACCTATAAGCACTTGATGTGGTTTGTATTTATAGGGTATGGTAAATTTCTGTAAAATGGAAATATATTTTAACCACTCGATAGTTCTATCTTATAAAAATTGGAGTAAAATTTGTTGTTAAAATACGAAGTTATTAAGTAAAGGAAGTATGTTCTCAGCAGCTTCTAGTAAATATAACGCAACATTTTTTGTAGCAACATTTGCTTAGAAACATATTCATGAGCATGCCGTCATGTTAGATTTAAGACTACATATGTCCCTAAGTTTCTTTACTCAACAGACAAACCATTGGATACCGGGTATTTCAAAGTCCGTCATGTGTAGCTTACTTTTCTAATAATATAGTTTCTGCGAATTAAACATTATTCTGATGCAATGTCTACCTAACTGTCACGAGAACTGTTGAAATTGTTTGTCACAGTGAAAAGTTTGTTGCAGCTGATTAGATAAAATGGTATTGACGCACTATATATATTCTGTTTAATTTCTCTCTCTCTCCATTTGGACCCTCTATATTTTTTGAACCTATGCCAATGGAAGCGATCAATTATACTAGCTTTAACACTGCTTAATTTTTTTACATATAACTCGGGGTATATAAGTCAAACGAAGTTCCACTTCCCAGTATAAAATAATCACATCGATATTTTTGTATGACAATTTGTTCGGCAAATCTAAGTTTAAAAAATCATAAGTAAGCCAATTTTAATTCGGAAGGCTTTCCTATGTTCGTTTTGAATTGGTTAATAAATCTGCATACTTAATTTATGACATCTTCACTTAGTTTCAAGCTTCAGTATAAAATTATAATAAGAAGTCATTGACTATTTTCGAATTAAGGGGTATACACCAATCTATATGACCTCATATTATTTGTGAGTAATTTTTTTGTTATTGAATGAGTGTTGTTTTCCTTATGTTTTTGTTTGCAATTCACAAAGCTCTCGTAAACCTGTTTGCCGCTCCCTCTCTCAATTTCTCTCTATTTATTTTGTTATCGCCGAAATTAGCAGGAAAGCGCTGCTGGCCTTTGGAATATAAAACTAATAGAACCAAACCATGGGTTAGTTTCACTTTGGTCGGGAGCGAGCAAAGTTCGTCGCGTGGCAAAAATGTTAAAAGGTCGAATTGGTCTATATATTATTCAGTCGCAAAGAGCGGCCCTCTTTTCGACCAGTCAACAGGTAAACAAATACGTTTTATACTGACCAAAAGCTATAAAAACTAAGAATTTGTTAAGAAAATTATTGAAAAAACCATGAACAAATGTTGTTTATGATACTTTCCAGCGCTGGCAGACGAGTGCGGCTTCCGCTGAGACCAGAGATGATCCGGAATGGCTGCAGGCTAAACCCTTCGAGGAGATTCCACGGCCTAGTTCGCTCTCGGTGTTCAGAAAAATGGCCCTGCCTGGTGGCAAGTACAAGGACCTCGAATTTATGGAGGTGTTCAAGGCCATGAGAGATGATTACGGGGATGTATTCTTCTTGGGAGGCATGATGGGCAGCCCCCCCTTCCTCATGACATACAATCCGAAGGACTTTGAGGTGGTCTTCCGCAACGAGGGCGTGTGGCCCCTCAGGCCTGGCAGTGACACCCTTCGTTACCATCGAACCGTGCACCGAAAGGACTTCTTCCAGGGCGTGGAAGGAGCAATTCCCTCACAGGGCAAGGCCTGGGGTGACTTTAGATCGACCGTGAATCCCGTCCTCATGCAACCCAAGAATGTGAGGTTGTACTACAAAAAGATGTCGCAGGTCAATCAGGCATTTGTCCAGCGGTACGATTCCCTAACTAAAATAGATCTTAAAGTTCATAGTTCAATGTAATATCCCATTTACAGTATTAAGGACATCAGAGATTCCACCACTCAGGAAGTCCCTGGTGACTTCATAGATACCATCAACCGTTGGACCCTCGAGTCGGTATCTGTTGTCGCTCTCGACAGGCAGCTGGGATTGCTCACGCAGGAAGGCAAGGACACCGAAGCACCTAAGCTCTTCCAGCACCTGGAAGATTTCTTTGTGCTCTCTGCTGACCTGGAGATGAAGCCCTCGCTCTGGCGTTACTTTAAGACCCCCAAGCTGAAGAAATTAATGGCGGCCTTGGACGACCTCCAGAACATCACATTGTCATATGTGGAGGAGGCGATCGTGCGCCTGGAGAAGGAGGCCAAGGAGGGAGTGGTACGTCCGGAAAATGAACAAAGTGTCCTGGAGAAGCTCCTAAAGGTGGACAAAAAGGTGGCCACTGTAATGGCCATGGATATGCTTATGGCCGGAGTAGATACGGTTAGTATTTCTTTCAAGTATATTTGGAATCCTAAATGAAATTGTGCTTCTATTCAGACCTCGAGCACTTTTACTGCCCTGCTGCTGTGCCTCGCCAAGAACCCGGAAAAGCAGGAAAAACTGCGAGAGGAAGTGATGAAGGTGCTGCCCCAAAAGGATTCCGAGTTCACAGAGGCCTCCATGAAAAATATGCCCTATCTGCGTGCCTGCATCAAGGAATCCCAGCGAATCTATCCCCTGGTGGTCGGAAATGCCCGAGGCTTGATCAGGGATTCGGTGATTAGCGGCTACCGGGTTCCGTCTGGTACCTTCGTGTCCATGGTTCCCATTGGTTCTCTCACCAGTGAGGAGTACTTCCCGAAAGCCTCCGATTTTCTACCCGAGCGCTGGCTGCGTAATGCCAACGATTCTGCCGGCGGCTGCCCGGCAAACGATCTGAAGACCAAAAATCCATTTGTGTTCCTGCCCTTCGGATTCGGACCCCGGATGTGCGTGGGCAAGCGCATTGTGGAGATGGAACTGGAGCTGGGCATTGCCCGACTCCTGCGTCACTTTACGGTGGAGTTCAATCATCCTACCAAGAATGCTTTCCGCTCCGCTCTAGTCAATTTGCCTAATATCCCACTGAAGTTTAAGTTCACCGATTTGCCCAATTAAGATAGCAATTTTTCTATGGATTTTGATTATTTTCTGTTGTGATAAGATGTGTTTTTGATGAGTTTTTTACACATTTTGAGGTAGCACTAAGTTCAACAAACAAATATATTACAGAAATTGTCACTAAATGTTCTTTTGTATATTGTATTTTTTAAATAATATATGTATATTTTACTGAGTACAAAAATTGTCACTAAATGTTCTTTTGTATATTGTATTTTTTAAATAATATATGTATATTTTACTGAGTACAAAAAGCATATATTATTTTTTTGTTTGGCTTGTCATGCTGACAATATTTAGTTTTCAATGCCATTGACACTGACCGATATGATGCGAGAAGCAAGCATTTAATTTGTTTAAGTTTATTAAGCTTAAGTGGTATGTGAGTGTGTTTTTTTTTTTTAGGGGCAGATAAAAAATATAACACAGTTCTATGTGTATTCTATTGCCTCTGCTATATTTGTTATGATAGCACCGCCTTCTCTGAGCGGGAATGCTCTCATATATTAATAAAACAAATGTTTCCCAGCGAATTTTGGTTCTCTCGAACCTGTTTAGTTTCCTCTCCGCTGGATGGAAGCTCTCTGCTGGTGTGTTGTTAATGTCCAATTAAGTCGCAAAGCTCTCACAAACCTTAGGAAAACCAAACATTTATTAGGAATGACCGCCTGCCGGGGCACTCAGTTTTGTTTTGGCGATGAACAAGCCAAGTTCTTTAATATTGCGAAAATGTCACAAGTGCGCAGTAGACTATCAGCATTAATTCAGTCGCAAAAAGCGACTCTCTCACTCAGCAATCAGAAGGTAAATAAATGTTATAAATATAAACAAATTATCTGGACAACTATCAGGCGGGCGTATCAAGTGGTCTAAACATGCCATAATATCGCTTAAAAGAATTTAGAAACTCATAGAAATATGCCTTGGAATCTAATATATATAATCTGAATTATAAAATTGTACTCATTCAAGCGCTGGCAAACCAATGTGGCCACAGCTGAGGTCAGGGGCGATTCCGAATGGCTGCAGGCCAAGCCATTCGAGGAGATCCCCCGCATCAATATGATGTCTTTGATAATGAAAATGTCCTTGCCCGGTGGCAAATACAAGAATATGGAGTTGATGGACATTTTCAAGAGCATGAGACGGGATTATGGGGACATATTCTTCATGCCCGGCACGATGGGAAGTCCCGCCTACCTGAGTACCCACAATCCGGAGGACTTTGAGGTGGTCTTTCGCAACGAGGGCGTGTGGCCCCATCGTCCCGGAAACGATGTCCTGCGCTATCATCGTGAGGTGCATCAGAAGGAATTCTACGACGGCGTCATAGGTATCATTCCCTCGCAGGACAAGTCCTGGGGAGAATTCCGCACCACTGTGAATCCGGTGCTCATGCAACCCAAGAATGTAAGGCTGTATTACAAGAAGATGTCTCAAGTTAATAAGGAGTTTGTGCAACGGTATGGAACCCTCAATAACTTACAGATCGGAAGTTTATAATACCATATCTCTCTGATATAGTATAAGGGAAACTAGAGATCCCAATACATTGGAGGTACCCGATGATTTCGTAGACACCATCAATCGCTGGACCCTCGAGTCCGTGTCTGTGGTGGCCCTGGACAAGCAGCTGGGATTGCTGAAGGATGTGAACAAGGAGAGTGAAGCCCTCAGGCTTTTCCATTACCTGGATGAATTCTTTATAGTTGCCGCTGATCTCGAGATGAAGCCCTCGCCTTGGCGGTACATCAGGACACCAAAGTTCAAGCGTTTAATGACCGCCCTCGATGGCATCCAGGAAGTGACATCGGCCTATGTAGAGGAGGCGATCGTGCGCCTGGAGAAGGAGGCCAAGGAGGGAGTTGTGCGTCCGGAAAGTGAACAAAGTGTCCTGGAGAAGCTCCTAAAGGTAAACAAGAAGGTGGCCACCGTAATGGCCATGGATATGCTGATGGCTGGAGTGGATACGGTCAGTACTTAGTTCCAGAATCTCTAGAATCCTAAATTAACTTGTAATTCCATACAGACCTCAAGTACCTTTGCTGCCCTGATGCTGTGCCTCGCTGAAAATCCCGAGAAACAGGAGAAGCTGCGGGAGGAAGTGATGCAGGTGCTGCCCAACAAGGATTCAGAGTTCACCGAGGCCTCAATGAAGAATGTCCCATATCTTCGTGCCTGCATCAAGGAGTCCCAGCGTGTCCGCCCCTTGATCGTTGGTAATGCCCGTGTCCTTGCCAAGGACTCCGTTCTCAGTGGCTATCAAGTGCCCGCCGGCACCTATATATCCATTGTTCCTCTGCACCCGCTCACCGACGAAAAGTACTTCCCACAAGCTTCCGAATTCCTGCCGGAGCGCTGGATACGCACCCCCAAAGATGCTCAGTCCAAGTGCCCGGCTAATGAGCTAAAGTCCAAGAATCCATTCGTTTTTCTGCCCTTCGGATTCGGACCCAGGATGTGCGTGGGCAAGCGCATTGTGGAAATGGAACTAGAGCTGGGCATTGCCCGAATCATTCGCAACTTCAAGGTGGAGTTCAATTATCCCACAGAGAATGCTTTCAAGTCCGCACTGATCAATCTTCCCAACATACCGCTAAAGTTTAAGTTCACCGATTTGCCAAATTAATTACTTGGTCTATAAAATAATACGATTTAAAGGTCAGTGTAAAGTCCGAGTCGAGTAATTATAAAGATAAAGCAATATATATGTGATATTTGTTGACTACAAAGGGGTGTGGTTTTGCTCTAAATTAGGAAAGTTTTATTGAACATTGTGAAATGCTTAGGAAGATGTTGCTAGATGTTGGCAACATAGCTAAGAACATGTTGTCAAACCTGGCATTGTTTAGGCCTAAGCAACAACTTTATATATACTTTAATATATATGTATATCTTTAGGGTACCTCCTTTTATACCAATGACTGCAGTCTGTATAAAAACAAAAAAGAAACCCTCAAATCCCCGATGATAAGGAATAAAACACTTGGGTTTATCTACACATTTAAAGCTATTCCATTTCCAGTTTAATACACATTCAAATATATATATATTTAATGTATCTTTTGTAGATGTATGTATAGACATGAGTACACTCAATACGGTATATATATGTATATACTTATATATGGTACATTTGTGGTAAACATTTTACAACAGTTTTAGACAGTTAACAGCTCTTGGATTCCGGTTAGAGAGAGGGGGGTCAAGGACAGGGGGCAGGATGCAGCACCTAACTGCATTATGTATTTAAGTTTAAGTGTTTTTTAGGCCAATTTCAACAATAAAATAGTTATCTAGCTTGACTGGCAAAATGCTTTCTTTTTTTGTAGAGAGTAAATATTCAATGGAAATTCCTCGGTTTCTTTATACTTTCTTGAAGGTATACATAGAGATATATTGTGTATATATATATTTATGATTTCTATATAAGTTGTTCGATTTATCGTATGTGTTTGGTCCGAATTGGATATTGAAACATTAACAAATTGGTTCACTTTGGTTTTGCTTATAGTCCGCTCTTGGTTATTATAATTTATTAAGATGCAAATTACTTGTTTCGATTAGAGAGATTAATGATCCAGTAAGAAGTTGTAAGTTGTTAGCTAAAATCAATTTCAATTCAGTCCTAAATCAGGGATATGAAGAGATTATCTCCTAGGTCTGAATACTCATCGTTTATATATATAATATTTTCTTTGTTAATTCACTGCTGTTGGCAAGTTTAAGCTCACAGAAAATGGGAATAAAAAAACATACACTGTTTGCCAATTAAGGCAAATATCATCTGGCTCTCGGTCCAGAGCATCCCAAGGAGGAGAGTCCTTGTCCAACCACCCATCTCTTATTCGCACCCCACTTGGCTAGTTATACATATTTTATTGAACGCAACTCTTGTTGGCAAACTGAATTTTTATGTTTATACTTTAATGCGCAATCGATACGAGGCAAAATTCAGCACAAGGGAGAGACTTGATATGTGCGCCGGGGTGTGTGTGTGTAGGTGTGGCAATAAAAGCCTCGCAGCCAAGAAAATGAAAATGAAAACGGATGGAAACGGAAACGGAAAACGGAGCCTGGCTTAAATCCTAAGCCACATGTGTGATTGTGCTGCTCGTTTCGTATCTGTTGCCACGTTTTTTTTCCCCCAGTGTTTGTGGTGCGTGCGAGCGCAATAAAATTTAATTTGATGCAGGCACAAACAAAAGATCCCCCACAAAACGGCCGGGGAAAAAATTCAAATTTTTTTCCCCCCAAGTTCACCAAAAAAAGAAAAAAGAAAAAGCCCGCAAAAACACTGCATAGTTCTCGGGGCTGCACAAAACACAAAACCACAAATGCGGGCGGGACGGAAGTGGTTACAACTCCATGGAAAGGAGGATACAAAGCAGTCCCCGTCACCGCAGACCAGTTTAGGGGGGATAGGGGAAAACACACACACACACTCACACACACACACACTCACACACACATACACACACACAGCATAACGTGCAATAAAAATGTGCAGAGGCGGCGACCAAAAGGACCCTGAGGATACGGACAGCCTGCCAAGAAATAACTCAGTTTCGGGTAAAGAGTGTATGGTGTGTGTATATGTGTGTTAATTAGGTTTGTGTTACAACGCTTTGAAACTCAATTTGAGGTGCTTTAAGCTGACCTTTGCTAGTTGGCACTTGACCTGCTTGGGACAGACAAGCGCCAAGGCTTGAGCCGCCATAAATTTCAAACGACAAGGACATTAGACAGGCCCTGCTTTATATATATACTATATATGTATATATATCGTACAGTATGCAAAACAGGCAAATCAATTGTCGCGTCGCCTGTCCAGGGACATTAAATTGCCATTGCATGCAGCTTTCTACACTTTTTAAAACACATTTCAAACACGCCCCTTTTGGGGGGATTTAATTTCCACACAAGCCCGATCGATGCTTCATTAAATATATATATATATATCTATATATCAAAGGAAATCATAAGCTTTTCCGTACGTACATAAATCAAAATCGCTTATTGATGTCTGCGCAACACGCGGTGGCGTATACTCGATGACATAAACGTGCCGCTAAACAATGGAGACAAAGGACACCGTGGGAAGGCGTATACATACAAGTGACATCATTTCTTGTGGCAACAATAAACAGAAAATACATTAACTAATATATATATATAAATATATGTATATGTATGAAAACAATAGAGTGTGGCGACCCTGCCGCATCAATTATGAGGCGTGACCATAAATAGATCCACCAATTGTGGCGGCAACCCAAAACGATGAGGAATATGCAAACCACCTCAATATTCACTATATAACATAGACTCTATATTCCCGTGCTCAATATTTGCGGGCAAAGCTTGGCGTGCCCGGATTGAGCACGCGACAATAATGCGAACTGGTCACGCCATAAGGATCCCGATCCAAATCCAGATCGCCTGCATCCTCGTCATCCTCCTCGTCGTCGTCGCCAGTAACCAGCTGTTGATGAAGTTGCTGCTGCAGATGGTGTGTGTGTTGATGTTGATGTTGATGAGGATGCTGCTGCGGCTGTGGCTGACGACGACGCATGGACAACGGTCATTGACGCTGCTGGGCATTGCTAATGAACTCGGCGTGCTTTTGCACCTGAAAAAAGAAAAAGAGAGGATTTGTATGACCATTTCAAGGACCAAGAGGATTAACCTCTCGTTCGTTACCTACCACATCGGCCACAATGGGCTCCTCGATCTCGAGCCCCTGCAGCGTCTGTTCGCGGCTTAAGTGCAGCTCATAGGAGTCCGTGGGCGTGACGAATACCACGCGATGCTTGCGTGTCTGCAGCACATTGGCAATGACCAGCTGAGGATGGAGGATGGGCGAAAGCGGAAGCGGAAGAAATTAGAATTACAGAGTTCTGGTGGTGGTTGTGGTTTTTTAGGTTTCCCTCCCTCCCGCTCACCTTGTGCTTGTATTTGTTAAGGCTGTCACGTGCCTTCACAATCAATAGGCTCTCGTCCGTTTCCAGCTTAAAGGATACCACAAAGGCATGCGGCACCCATAGGCTGGCAAGGGGTGCTAGCATTTTTGGCACCAGCTGCAGCGAAATCGTTGGCGCTCCATCACCCGATTGCATTTTGTGGGTGGGCTGCAAAGGGACAGAGAGACAGAAATCCAATGTTGACAGCGGTTAGTGATTTTTAATGGAATGATGGCCACGATGCGTATACGCGATGTAATACGGCTCGCTTGGTTCGTTGCCCACAAAAGCCACCAACATACAGCACAGCATCCTCTTAAATGGAGGAGCACACACACAATGCAGCACAAACAAACACACACAGAGTCACTCTCTTGGGCAGCAAAGTGTCCTTGCAAAATAAACAGAGAGACAGTCAGACAGACAGACAGACGACAAAATGAAAGGAAAGGGCTGGTTATTTCCCTTTTTTTTCTTTCTTATTTCCTTCGTCCTTTTCAATGGTGCCTCCACGTGGCATATGAATTACAACTAATTGAAAGCATAACTCAGCCGTAATGAGCTAACGGCAACGCCTGGCTGCACAAGGCTCTTTTTTTAAAGCCTTTCAAAATATATATATATTACACATACGCCTCGTGGGCCACCCTCTTAGAGAGAGCAACTTGTTGAACGCGTCCTCATTCTCATTAACTGGCCGTAAAGCTGCTCTAAGCTGCTGGCTGACCAGTCTCATTTATCCGGGGACGCCTTTGTGCTGGACAATACCGATGGACAGACCACGCCTAAGTAGCCGGGGACGACGACAGTGGGCATTGAGAGGAGAAATGAAAAATTTAGCTCAAGGCATTAAGTCGACAACGAAACAAGCCAAGGGAAGAAGTTGAATAAAAAACAGAGGAAGGCAGGAAGGGAGCCTTTAAGCTTTTTGAGGAGGGAGGAGAAAAGTTTTGTGGCTCTCGGTTTTGCTGGGAAATGCTAGCAGCTGTTGACATTGAATACGCTTTCCACCGCTTTCCACCGCTTTCCACCGCTTTCCACTGCTTTCCCCTGCTTTTCCTTTCCCTCTAGCACCCACAGCTGTAGTAGTCTCTGTGTGCTCTGCGTTGATGCGTGCTCTTGTAAAATCTTTTGATTTGATTTGCGGATTTCGGCACGTCGCCTTTTCTGTCCTGCCCGCTTTTGTAAGTTTACTCTTTTAATTTTCTGTTTGTTTTTACTTATTACAATTTGCTTTTGGTCTCAAACACTGAGCCAGCAGGCCCCAAATTAATTCAAATTGTGTAGAGTGTAGTGTGTAGCCCTGCTCTCTTCTCCTTCGTCCTTGCATAAATTTGTAAAGGCTTTTAGGCCTTGTTCTCTTGAGGGCGTGTACGTCGTCGTCGTGATGATGTGATTGTGAAATTGAATTTTTAGTATCGTCTTCCCTTGAAGTCAACTGAACACACACAAACTCATTTATATGTATGTATGTTAGCGGCGACAAACTTTTGGCAAGTGGCTTTGGAAAAACGTGTCTCGCCTGTGGTTTTGACTTGTTGGAATTCGAAATACTGACCTTGTCTTGGCCTGCAGCTTCAAGAGCTGAATGAGTTTTCAATTTGCCAAAGGGAAACTTTGCTAATAGGGAAATATAGGTTATTAGTTACCTATTTTTCAATAGGCAAAATAAAGTCCTTGAAGCACTCAAAGGACCTGCTCAAACTCAAAGGTAGTTGCAGCAAGCTTGACTGCTTCTATTTATACAATGCCAAGTGGTTATTATGCAAATCCAAATCGATTTGCAGGCAATTCGTGTTACCCCGGGAATAAGACTTTCTCCTCAAGGCAGGACTCCTCCTAAAAGACGAGGCCACAAATATGCGCATATATTTTGGGGCTAGACACGTGCATAAACATCAACAGGCCATTCTCGCCATTTAGGGTATTTTCGGCATTTTACTTGTGCCTTTCCGCCAAAGGTTACTGCTGCCAAGAGCTTCAAACAATTTAATCAAGTGAGCGGACGATTTGTGGCTAACACCCATGAACGCCCACAACACACACACGGACGAGCATTTTCAGAGACAAAATGGGCGAGTGTCTTGAGCAGAATGGCGAATGGGAAATGCACGAGCTGAGCGGAAACTGGGCGTAGGAAATGGGAAATGCTACAACGATGCTCGGCATCAGCATCGGCACTGGCATCGGAATCACAATCAGGCTCAGGCGGTAGGCTGAAAAGTTTCTCGTGCTTACCAGCCATAGCATCTACAATGTTTTATACAGATACAGTCAAGGTATTAGCACATAAGAAGAAAATCTGGGAAGTTGTACGGATAATTAATTTAATTGCTTGAAAGAGTCTAAGAGAAAACCTTTGATGCAAGGTCTAGCAATATGTTCTATCTTTAAAAAGATCTTTTGCTAGTTATAATCATAAATTTTGCATTACTATTAAATAGTTAGTTAGCTGAGATATTTGTAGCTGATTCCCATATTTTGTTATTCAAGATAATATCTACTTTTAATTTATACTAAAACCAGAAAAGAAACTTACTTCGGGATGCCGAAACTTATATATCCTTTCAGTTTGAAATTGATTTTATAGATCGAATCGAAAATCGCTCATAAGTAAACCTAAAATATTTGCATTCTTTGAATTGTTACTTATTGAAATTTTTATTGACAAATCAAAGTTTAAAAAAATCATAGCTTAGCCAAAAAAGCATTAATTTTGAATCGGAAAGCTGTTCTGTGCTAGTTTTTATAAGGTTAATAAATCTGCATACTCAATTTTAAATTTTAAATAAATCAAAATTTTGCCAATTTTTGGCATTTTTAATGATGTAACCCCTTATTAAATTTTCAATTTTCGGAAAAATGGCAAACATTTATTTTTTTACCAGACATGGCTAGAATGACTGGGCTGTTGATGCTGATCCAGAATATATATGGTTTGTAGGGTCGGAAATGACTCCTTCACTGCGTTTTAATCTTCTGATTGAAGCTATACTCCGCAAAAAGGTATGAAAACAAAATTTTCTTAAATAATCTGAGTTTTCCAAACATCATAATTAAGCCAAAATAGCATTAATTTTAATTCGGAAAGCTGTTCTGTGCTAGTTTTCATTGTACTATTAAATCTGCATACTGCGTTTGTTGATGATATTGTTAGTTTTTGACTAAAATTATAAAACCTAGCAAAAAGGTATAAAAACACACAATTTTGTCCAAAATTCATTGTTTTAAAAACGCATAACTAAGCCAAAAAATCAATAATTTTAATTTGGAAAGCGGTTCTATGCTAACTTTTAATAGATTAACAAATCTGCATACTCAGTTTTCAAATTAAAAAAAATAAAAATTTTGTCAAATTTTGACAATTTTAATGATGTAACCCCTTATAAAATTTTCAATTTTCGAAAAAATTTCAAAAATTTATTTTTCGATTGGACATGGCTAGTTTGAATCGGCTGTTGATTATGATCAAGATTATATATGGTTTATAGGGTCGAAAATGACTCTTTCACTGCTTAGCAAGCTTGTGACTTAAATTGTAATACCCTGCAAGGGGTTATAAAAAGAAATTATTATTCTCAACTATTAAGTAGCATTTTCTACTCAGTTTTAACCTACCAATATAAAATAAAACTAATAAAAGCAAAAACATCCTTTAAAACATATCATAAAGAAACAGATGCACATACTTATTTGTTGAAAAGATAACCCTGAACCTGAACGTGCTTTCAAAAAAAAGAACCTCATTATAAGTTTCGGCAATATCGAATATTTAGCAACTTTGCAACGACATATTATAAAGTTTTTCCTATTAAAACTTAAATTTAAGATGTGATAAAGTGGTTTCCAGGTATCCCTGTCTACCTTTATAAATTTAAGTAGGACAAAGGCAATTTCCACAACTATATTGAGTAGCATACTTTTGTGAAACAAGCAAAATACATTTTAAATTGTAAACATAAGCAGTGGTATCTTGTATATGCTGTTACCTTTAGCATTCCCATTAATAATTGTAATTAAATAATTGTTTTGAAAAGCTTTTTAATCTGCTTTTCTAGATCAAAAGAAAACATTTTAGAAAGATTGCTTAGCTTGTAGAAAATATTTATTTGACCTTAGCTGTATGTTCATACAAAGTGCATGTGTGATGGTATGCAAATGCAAAACGGACAGGTAAATAAAGAGGGCTGTCAGGCAGAGCCATTCACGCCCCACCAATGGACATTTGATGCACTTGAAAGCCTTTTTCCCACCGCTTCCTTCCCAACCTGCCGCTCCAGCTCCTCCGCCTCCTGAATATGCGCCAACAAGTCAGCTGACAAACGGCGAGAGGCATGGAAGGCGTGGGGATTGTGACAAGTAAACACCACCAGGCACCAGGCGGGTAGCCCACCCACTCGATATATAAGAATGAATGGATAGATGGATGGATGGATGGACGGATGGATGGGTTTGGTGGGTGCTAAAGGTGAAGGGATACTAGAAAAACGTAGGAAGTTACAGCGGTGGCGTGGGAGAATGGGTGGCATGAATCCAAGTGAAGCGTAGCGCAGAAACACGGTAACAAGCGAAATTATGCAAATCAAATTATACGATGACAATGTTAAGGCTGCTGCCTGGCTGGCGGACAAGGCCACAAGGCCGTTGCGAGTGACACTGACAGCCTGTGATAAGGCTCCTATGGCCAGCAGTAGGAGATGGAAGGAACTAGGAACTAGGAACAGCAGTGGCAGCCACCACAGTTGACTTAGCCCAGTCGAACGTCAATAATGTGGAGAGGAAATGTGTCATGGGCAGACCGGGGACATCCTCAACAACTGGGAATCGAATGGAGCGCCAGGCTCAAGGGCAGTGCACACAGTAAAAAACTACCAAGAGCCATAAATAGTATTTCAAGAGTTCGATTCTGATAAAGCAGCAAGTTTAGATTTAAGTCTATCTATCTCTTTAAAGAATTTACTGCTTCTTTTATTCAAATTTCGGATTTATTTTCCATTAGCTTATGAAGAAAAAGTGTTTAACAAAGTGTGGAAAAAATCTTCCTGAAGGAAAATGTAAAAAAGGATGCTAAAGCGTTGTGCAGACACTATAAATAATGTATATTTATTTTATGACAGCTTTCCTCAACATCCTTCATAGCTTATTTATTTTGTTGTGTAAACATAATGTTTTTAGTAGAAAGTATGGATAAATAAATCTCTAAAAGGACCCAAGATATTTTGTAAAATGTCAAAATTCTCTTCTCTTCAGATTCAATCTTTATATAAATAAATCCCTATATATATGTTTTTTGTTTCTGTGCAGCTTTGAGAATCAATAAAAACCAATTTCCACTCACTCCGCACTCGCCCACTGACAAGCGCAATCAATTACGAGATTTCCCACATGGCCTCCCTTCACCCACTTCGAACATCCCACATAATCCGGACTCCGGAATCTCCAACTTACCATCATGTCCTCGGGTATGTAAAAGTCGGAAACGGCCGCAGCCAGGTAAAGGACTGCCCGCTGCTCGAAGGCGGCCAGGCACTCGCAGGCGGCACGGAGCAGCCACATGTAGTCCACGACGCTGGTAAAGTTCACATACAAGATCATCTGCGTCTCGCGGGCAATCTTATACTTGGCCAGGACTGGAGCGAACACATCCACCGAGTCCGGCTTGATGGCTATCGTTGAGCTCTGGCTATTGTCTGCAATGTCCAGCATGTCGAAGAACTGCTGGCCGGTGAAGTGCCTCGTAAAGGGCTCCAGTGACTTGTGGCGATGCATGAAGATCACGGCATAGTCGTGATCCAGGAAGTATTCCGCCGAAGCTGAGCCACGTGTTCCAGCGCTAAAGTTATCCACGAATCGCACTGTGTTGTGCTCGAGGGGAACTGTTGTGCCGCCGGACTGGAATTGGTAATGGAAGAAGGGTTATATTAAAGGGAAATTAAATTTAAACCATAGATTATTAGTTAAACTTTGGCTGCCTGTAATTAACTATCTATAAACGTTATATGGGTAAAATCAGCATCTTTGTGGACTCTAGAACACCCATAAATATTTTTGTAATATTTAAATTTAAGCCCCAAAGTAAGCAACAGCTGGAATTTAACTGCCATAAATCTTTGGAACTATTTAAGCCCGGAAAAATCTGACAACACCAAAGTTATCAATCTTAATTGATTTATTTTAGCAAACATAAAGGCTTCATATGCATTCCTTTAACTTTTTCTCTCCTGGGGAAAACCAATGGCTTGGAAAACAAACAGATAAATACACATATTGGCAGCCATATTTCCTCTAAGGTAGTTAATCATCTGATTCAAATTAATATCCTTACGTTGGCTATAAATCAAAACTGTGTAATCCTAATAAGAATTTATTGTTTTACTTTGACATAAATCATAAAAAGGATTAAGGCAGCAATATGTACCATACAAAAGTCGAAAAATATATACTTATTATTGGATTACTTCCAGTTATAGTTTTAATAATTGTTTTCACCTAAATCCTAAAGATACCTTAAATATTTCTAGTTTTTGTATGACCTGGTTTTAGTTAAATATTGATTTTTTGTTGATTGGGAAACACATTTCACAGCTAGATTGTCGGTATGAGTTATTGCCGAATTTTCTTGAAAATTTTGCCTACAAACTAAAGCAAAAAGCATTTGAATTCTCTACAGATTATTTCCTAGAAATAAATCCAATTATTTCAATCAAATTTTGCGGAATTTCAGCAAATTAAAGTGAATATATATACATTTTCTGACTTTTTTAAATGCGTTAAATTTCTATTTCTGTCTTTAAAAGGCTTTAAGAAGTCTGTTTAAATAGTTACAAAGTAAGGCTTTTTGTCATTTTCAATATGTTTACATTTTTGTAATTCATACATTTAATGTATTCTTATATTGTTTCCCTCCTTTGACAATAACTTTAAACAATCTAGATATTTCTATAAACACCGTTTGTATACATTTAACTTTTCACTTAAATTTATGCACATATTTCCCGCCTTTAAAGCCCGGAGCACCTCGCGTTCCTCATTAAAGCATTCACCGGTTGAAGGGGTCAGCTCAACCCTTGTCGTTGACCCTAAATCCACATTTGCTGACAAGATTTCTAAACAGAACCCAAATCAGAGGGAGGATTCCCAGCTTACCGTGACGAGGACGATGCGGTTCTGGAGCTTGTTGTGGCGCTCGCAGAACTCCTTTAGCAAGGAGCGATTGTCCTCAAAGTCTGCGGGCGGCAGGTGAGTGTTGTAGAAGTCCTCCCAGTGCGTCATTTTGGCAATCCTTTGCTCCTGCTGCTGCTAATTGGCCGCGTAAACGGAAGCTCGCAAATAACGGAAAGCAGCAGCCTTCCGCCGGAAACTATGCACTGCTAATTAATAAAAACACAGACGGCAACGGACGGCGAGCAAACCAAATTAACTTTGCCACACGCACGTACTTATTTTAATTGATTGATTTAGCTTTTTTCACAGGTTTTTTGTTTTGTATTTTATTTATTTATTTTTTGAACCGAACTTTGTTAAAAACAGAAGCATGGGGCTGGGGGCGGGGATGTCTCTGCTTATCAATGGAGTTGTAGACAGCGGAGAGAGCACGGCGCGCGAGAAGAAAGCGGGGCGGCGGAACGGAACGGAGGCGCTCTTTCCGGAGAGAGCCAAACGAGAAAGCTGGCGCAGAGCTTAAAATGCTACAAACGTGCACACGGCAGCGAGTTCCGCGGGAGTCTAAACCGAAAAATGCGACGGACTACGGTTGAGGACGAACCGGAATGCGGACAGGCGCACTTAAATTCGTATCTTTATTCGCACGAAACGAGGCTGTCGCAGGTTCAAAGTGCAGGAGGGCCACGAAAAAAAATAACACCACGCAAGACACACAAAACAGCTGATGGCAGTGTTGGTCAGCGACCGAGTGGGGGTGGTGGGCAACTGGTTCCGGCTGCTGCAGCATACTTGTTGCTTGTCAACAGTATAAACCGCAAATGGCAATAGTGAATAACTTGGTAAACTAATTAATTAGCACTAAGAATTAAGTAAAGAACAAATTTTATTGTGTTTCCAGTCATGTTGAGACATTTGACCTAATATTTATCTGGGAGAACTAGTTCACATTTTCGTGGCTCTGTTGCATCAGTAAAAGCAAAGTTGGCTGCGGTTGGAGTTAGCTTTCAGTGTTGGTAGTTCCACTGGGCGCGCAATTCAAATTTGAAATAAGTGCATGAGCTATCTGGCTTACCTGTGGCTTCATTAATTCATATTTCTGATTTAATATGTAATATTTTCTTTGCCAATTATACTAGTTATATATTTAAACCCGTTTTTAAAAGTATAAATTAGACCGCAAGCCGACTAGTTTGGTTAAAATTAACATATACTTGTTTTATTATCGATTACAAACGCTTGGCTCTATGCATATTGTTAGTGCAAGGGACGTACAAAAGAATCTCTAGAACAATATCACAGAAACTTACAAACTAATTGGCGCTGTCAATTGCGCCAGTTACTAAGAAATCGGCGGTAATGGCAGGCGACCTTTATCATCACCGTTTAAAGTGTAATTGGGAAGTGGAATGCTTTTCAGCTTGTCGTGGAAATTTATGGCATTCATTAGAAGAGTGCGCTCTTCATATAGACACGAGTCGTGAGTGCGCACTTTAATCCGCTGCCAAGTCCAGGTCGCGTAAGCACACACTGGATCGGATCAAATCGGACCAGATTTGCACCCGGACTACGCCCGGGGCGTGGCTGGCGTGGTGGTCGGAGCGTAGACGTGATAATCGACATCATCGATGCCAGCTGCCTCCTCCTCTTCGAGATCCCGGTTCACCAGTCGCTCGCGCATTCCATACCGTTGCCTGAAAGTTAGCAAAAAATTAGCACTGCGAAAATTAGGATAATTAGCTTAGGTTAAGACTCACTCCAGGTGCGAGCGCCATATCACCAGGCCAGCGTACAGAGCCAGGGAGACCAAGGCCAGTACCATTACCACAATGCCGAGGAGCACGTGACCCTCACTGACAGCACCCGCCTGCACGTCCACCGGCGTCATCTCGATATTCTCAGAGGCAAAGGTGTCTGTGTCCGTACTGAAGACCACACCGTGCCCCTTAAAGCGCTCCTCCAGATCCTCTGAATCATTCGAGCTGCTTTCGTGCTCGTCTTCCTCGTCTCCTGATTCCAGGATCTCCACATCGTACTTGTAGTTGTGGGCCAGCACCAGATTAGTGGCAGAGTTCAATTGATCCTCGTCACGGTGGGGATAAGCCTGTCGTGGCAGTTCATCCGATTCCTCAGCAGAATCGGACTCCAAGGGGGTATCCTGGAAGGGAAAGAAGAAAGTTATTAAATGCTTTTAATATATAACTTTAACTATCAGTCCGGTCAGTCCTAACGATCTTTCCCTAGTAATCCCAATTATTTGCAGTGTAAAAACGTCACGAAATATAAGGTGGGTCTTGTCATCGGTGCGGCTTTCCCTGCCAGTTGAGTAATTAATTTCCCCTGGCACGTGATTCTATGCAAGTTCTATGCCGAATTTAGTAACTAACACATTTGAAAGTGGGTGGACGCCTTTTTTTTAGCATATGATTTCCAGTGGCTCATCAATTATTGAGGTCATCCCTCGGGTAGTTATAGAAAAAAGTAACCCATAATACTTTTTAAAGACTAAAGTATTCATTTGTAGCCCAAAGTTTCAAGTGAAAACATAATAATAATAAATGCACAACTGACTTTCACAGTACTATACTTTTGACACCATAAAATAACTTTAAGTGTGTGATAAAAAATATTAACGAGACAGTTGAGAGTTAACAAATTTCGTTTTATAACTAATTACTTTTGAAACACTTGTTGGTTACCCCACTAAGTGGGTCTAAGGAGCAAAAATGACAAAGTATCCGAGATTAGTAAAAACAATGAAGCCTGAAATAACGTATACGACATGTAGAACCAAATAACTCTGTTCGAAATATGTTAAAATTTATTTAGTTACAAGGAACTTTTTAACCTGAATTTGTAAGGTAAATGTATTAAATATCTCTATATTCTAATTCGTAAATAAAGCTAAAAGTTGGCTTGGAAACGAGTCTAACAATTATAAATAATATTACCCAAAAGGAAATCGAAATTGCGATGACGCATAGACAAAACATTTCAACACTTTTCGTAAGCCAACCTCAAACTTCTCGCTTGGCACATTAATCATCGTTTTAAAGCCCGGTCTCACCTTTCGAACGTCTCAATTACCCAACTTGAGGTGATAACATACTAAAAGATACACTTTCGATGGCCAAACACACCTGAGACGACAATTGTGGAAAGCAGCTGAAGTTCGCTCAACCTACAGCTGTTTGTTGTTCGGCGTTATCAGAGAGGTCACCACTTATCTGGCCTAATCCGTTTACCCATCTTTTTCCACAAAAATAATGCTAATTAGTAAGTTGTTTTTAACGGAAGAGATCACTGGCAAGATCACTCTCACTGCTGTGTGTTTATTTACTCAACAAATCTTTGGACACTGCCTGACCTCGATGACTGTTGGGGGGTCGCGGGATGTGAACTCTGTAATTGGCAGCGACAATATCTTACGAATACGTGACTGGTTTCTGACTCTGTCTCCAACGGCAGGCAAGCACTTAATTTCGTGTAACTGCTCGATTTGTTTTTACAACTAACAATGGCTATAACTGATATGTACATAAAAAAGGTGACAAGCACGAGATCTCGAGAGCTGGAAGCTGATCTTGACTATCTCGTAATCAGCCTAATTTGCTCCAGCAACAGCGGGGGTATTTTCCAACAGAGATTGGAGAAGATCACGAAACTCCGAGTTCCCAGAGACGTCACGGCAGTCGAGGAATTGCCTAGAATTCCATTGAATGATTCACCTACCTAAGCACTTTGGGAGTCTCTGTTTCTGTCTTAATTATAAACCCAACGAATCGATGGAATTTCGTGACTAAACCCTCAACGCTTGGGGTTTCTTTAATTTTATGCAAAGTTTCAATGCGTGCGCTTTTTTCTTTTCCTCATTTAGCATTTCTTTTGAGCCTTAAAAGGCAAACGCCGCGCGTGTCTTCTTGTGGCTTTTGCATTTAATCAAAGTGAAAATAAATAAACATTTTTTAAAGCGTAAATTTCCGGTTCCCGGGGTATAAATAAACCAAACAAAAAATACATAATGCACTGGCTCATATTTCACTCGTCTCCATGTGCGTCAGTCCCCGGTCCTTAGCCTGGCCCAGTTACTCCCTCCTGTTTGCCTTTGATTCTTTTTCTGGCCAACTCACCTTTACGACAGCTGTCTTATTTTTGGACACATCTTCAGCAGCTCCTCCTGCTGTTCCTCCTCCTGCTATGATTCCTGCTGCTGCTGCTCCAGCTACAGCTCCTTTTCCTCTCAGATCACTTAACTCCGTTAAATCCTGCGAGGGCTTGGCTCGGGCTAAAAGAGAAAGCAATTAAGCAGAAAATCAGAGATAATGAGTTCGGTTGAATTAGCCGGTTGTATTTGGTTACAGCTTATCAGGCTACCTGTCTGCCGCAGATCTTCCTACATTTCGGAGGAATCGCAAATATTTGTGCCAAGACTAGCACCTATTCTTTAGGCAGTAAAATACACGCGCAGATATGTTTGCTTATCTTGCAGTCACAATTACGAACTCTGATTTTATTCAGAACCAGACCCAGACAATACGGATCGCGGTTCTACCGGGATTTTTATCAGTTGACACGGATTCTTGGGCAATGCTTCTTTTGGCAAACAAAACGAAAGCGTGTTGGAGCTTAAAAAGCAAGCATAAATTAGCACCATTGCGGTTCAAATAATAGTGAATGAGTTTATTTGAAAGTAAACATATTTCTAACATATTTCTAACATATTTCTAACAAGGATTGAGTTTTATATGTGTTTGGGCAGAGAAATTAAAAAAAGATTAGGTCAAACGTAAGGTACTTTTAATTATTTAATGCTTTAAGATCTTGGTAATAGTTAAGGTAACTTAAACTTATGTTTTAATGTAATATATAAACATACTCTTGCAATAACTAAAGTAGAAAACATAGTAAGGTATTACAAAATCCAAAACTATAATGGCAACCTAAGCTGTACTGATTTTTTGTGGGTCTCTCTGGTATTTATCAAACCTGTTCATATATACTATATATCACAAAACCAAACAGCAAACACACATTTCTAATGCCACAAACGATTTTGCCAATGCCGATGGAATCACCATGCGATTCGCATAAATCGCTGCTGGAATCGCATCGAAATCGCATGCTGGCTGGTTGTGAAGCTCCCACAGAAAAATATTCCACAAAAAAGCACATGATATGGCGGCTATATCTTGCATTTCATTGCAATTGACATTCATAAGTCTACTATTTTTCGATTTAACAGTACGTGACAATGGTTAAAGCCTTGTCCCAGTGAAGACTTGATCCACTTTTTTTGACAAGTGCCAAAGAAGCGTCCAGAGTTTGTCTTATCAGTTAACACCTGGGAAATAATATAACTTAATGCTCTGCCCATAAGAAACTGACACCTTATAATCTGCCAGCTAAGACCGGGCGTATCTTTTGGCAATAAGTTATAAACTTATATACTGAGATAATAAATAATGAAAATACATTGTTTTATGCGAAAAGCGTGTAGAGATGTTATAAAAGAATTCAACAAGTTGGTTATTATGTTCTAGAAAAAGTCTACTAACTCTGAGTAAGCGGAAACATTATATTAAGATATAGACAATGGGGAAATATGTGGCAAATTATTGAAACGAAATGTTTATTAAAGTTTTTTTCGTGATTTTTTGGTGATTTGCAATATAGTTTCATTATTACTATTACTCATCACTAGTCAAAAACGTGAAACACTTTGAAGGAGTCATTTCCGACCCTAATAAATCATATATATTCTTGATCAGCATTAACAGGAGAATTGATCTAGCACCCTCAAATTTTTCCAAAATTTCAAAATTTTATACATCGTTAAAATGTTCAAAAATTGATACAAATTTTAATATATTAAATTTTTAAATTGAGTATGCAGATTTATTAAACTAATAAAATCTAGCATGGGAAATCTTTCCAAATTGCAATTAATGCTATTTTAGCGTGGGTATGCTTTTTTTAAATTTTGATTTGTTAAGGAAATATCAATTCAAAGAATTTGAATATTTAAAACATAGTTTTGGTTGATTTCCGATTCGTTCGATGATTTGATTTGGCCTTGAACCTGATATATTCTAATCTATTTATAAATTACGAAGGATATTACTCTTTGATTTATATTCCTTGGATCTCTCAAGTCCTTATTGTTTATTTTCCCTCATAAACACTTAAGGAAAAAAACCCATTATTTTAACCACAACTGTTCCTGGTACCATAACTGCGTATCAATCATGTAACCATATAGGAGGAAAAAGCCCTGGCGAAATCTTATCTGCAATGTGAGCCAGCTGGAGTCCCCCCATTGGAATTAAAGTCTTGCAATTTAATTTTGCGACTTGGCGGCGGCGACGGGAACCTTGATGGACGACGGCGAGGACGGCAGGCGGTCTACCCAACAATAAAGCCCCCATATTTATGCCCCGTAAACCTGGCTTACAAAGGCAAACCGAACCGAACCGAACCGGACCTGAGTCTTGGCTCTTGGCTCTTTGCTCTTGGCAGGCCACTTATTAAGGCAAAAAGGGTGAACCGTAAACTGTTAACTGTCTAGCCGAGTGGCGGCTCCTCCATCTCCATCTCCATCGCCATCGCCATCTCATCCAGCTGCGCTCGAAACTAGTTTCCCTGCAGAAGTGGAAATATCGAGATCGGGCTCGCCTTGGCTCCGCTCGGTTATCTATCTTTTATGGCTCGCGTTGTTGTCACTGCGGATACACATGGCGGTTGAGGTACTTACACTCGGCCAGCAGCAGAACCATCAGCAGTAGCAATGCCAAACTCTTTGTGGTGCCCATTTTGCGATTCTGTTGGATATATGCGGGTTCCGTCACTTCCTTTGTCGATTGGTTTCGCTTATCACACACGCACAAGTTACGCGCCCCTCGATCGTTGGTATATTTTTGCCAGGTGAATAAGCGTTGATCGGGGTGTTAGCACTTTTTTACGAGTATTTATTTGTTGTTTTCCGCCTGCCGAGTTTTTATTTTTGAGCGTGCAGTCGCGGCAAGCTTTCGGATTGAAATGAAATTTGAGCGGCGACTCACGAAGTTTTGCTCAGTTGAGGTTGAGCTTTAGGGTTGTCAGATATATTTAAAAAAATGTGTATCGATCATTTTTTTTTAAATTAACATTATGATTTAAATATTTAATATAATTGCCAAGAAATATCGATAGTAATACATATTAAATTAAATATTTGTCACGAAAAATGGGTTGTTTGAATATAATTTTAAAGCGCTCTTTGGAATGTAATGAAAAGATTATTTTTTATTTTATAAATAATGTATTAAAGTTTTTATTAAACTACTTTTAATAAATCGACATTTGTCAGGAATCCTAAAAGTGTGACTTCCATATGTGGAACTCGCTTTGGGTTGAACTCGACTTATAAATTCAAAATATATATAAATATTAAAATATTACAATATGTTGATTAAAGTTTGACAGCCCTATAAACTTGCCAAAGCTTTTATGTTAAGTTTCCTGGGTTAACCGATCAATGTTCAAGGCAGTAACAGCGCTGTTATGGTAGCTGGGCTGATATCATTACACTACATTACATTACATTACATAGAATGTTTAGGGTACTCAGAATTTATATTTATCTACTGTACAAATGTATATATTACTCGAAATAAACATTTTTAATCGAAATCTGTAAAGTCTATTAGCTTACCTTAGTTTTTAATTTTAAATTAAATTATTAAAAGTAAATACAGATTCAAATCGCTAAAAAAATTAAAAATTATTGTAAATTTTATTTTTTTTTTATTTTCTTTATTATTAAAATGCTCAAAATTATTTTAAATAATTTTAAATATCATCAAGCTCAAAGAAAATATGTATGTTTTCATTTAAAAATTTATAATTATATAAATTAGATAGAAAAACAAAGCTATATTTTCCCTTTTAGAATTCAACGTACTCTCAAAGTATTAATTTCCATTTTTAACTTATGATATGAAATGGCATTAAGCCAATTTAACTTGTAACTTACCAAATGAACACACCAAAATTAATGTAAGCTGATTTTTAAAAGTATTGGAGTTTTTTTATTTTCTACACATTCTAGCTTGCGCCTACGATTGCCCAAGGGGCAAGCATAGACCTGGATGTCTGTAAACAAGGTAAGGGAATAACACTTAAATCTCAAGAATTCCCCAGTTGCTTTATCGGTCAACTACATATATATCTAAAAATATTGAAGTTTTTTATTTTTTTCTAGACATTTTGAGTTCGGCGTTTCGGAGATGTCAGTACAACTCTTTGGATTCCGTGTGTACAGTCAATTTGCCGTTGCCCAAGCTAACCAGGGCGAATTCCGTATTTACAAGAGACGGGGGGATCGGGATCTGAGTCGGGATCGAGATGATACGGGGGGGTCTGGGGCCTTAAAATACCTAAACACAACTTCTATACTCAACAATTTGTCTTATGCTCACTACTGATTCTATGCCTATGCCTGCGACGGCATAGAACGCTTGCACTTTAAGCTTCAACGTTTTCGATTTGGCCAGGACACCAGCGGAGAACCACGATCCCGATGGCCACTACCCGCACCGTTCGCGAACGATGCCGGACGTGGACCGGTGCGGGGCGTGACCGCAAGGAACGGCCGACCGAAGGCATCCTTTTTTAAAGGGGTACGAGCCGTGCCGACAGACTGCTGCGCCCGGTCCGGTGATTCGGGGGGATAAAGTTCGCGGGACCGACCAGCAGCCCCTGCCGGGCGGACGCAGTCGACTAGAGGCGGACAAAACTTTCAAAGCAATCGAAAGCGAAACCTTTGTACACACATTTGGATAGAGTCCTGCGGGTCATCGTCGTCGAGTTCGTGGTCAGTTCATCGTCAAAGCTCAGTGTCCAGTGATCTTTTTCGTTCGTTTTTGTGGATGTGAATGCGGGAAACTTAAACTGCTCGTTAAAAAAAAACAGATGGGCTTAGCAATAGCGGGCGAGCTAAACAAATTGCTCCTGACTGTTAGCGGCTAGCTCCAAGAGTCTCCATGCCGCTTTGGGGTTGAGTTCGTTGCGGTCGCGACACAGCACCCAGACGTAATGCACCCGCATCACCTTCTCCGGATCGCCCTCGACCACTTGGGCCTTTTGGTCCCGGACGCACATGATTTGCTGCGCCTGGAACGTGACGATCAGCACGGGACCCTGCTCCATCACCTTGCCCATGGCCAGCTCAATGTTCTCGATGTCAAGGATCTTCGAGTCCAGATAAAGGCCGGCCTTCTTTGCCGTCGTAATGGGCGTGGCGATAATGTTGTATGTGCTCTCGAAGCACCAGTCCTTCAGTATCTCCAAGTCGCCCCGAACAATTGCCTCCAGTATGTTAGGAATGAAGTCTGTTTCGCAGTCTCGAAGAAACTCCTTTTGATCAAAGCTCGGGTCGATCTTGACCAGCTCTGTCATCGTTTCGGAGAGCTCAGTCTTTGAAAAGAGACCTCCCATCACATCGGACACTTTGTCGGTTAGCAGGCGGGAGGCACGGATCATGGGGTTATCAGACTCGTCGTACTTTACCTTCCAGTCGAGGACCTTGTTCACGTACGTGTTGTTGTTCTTAAAGTTCTCCCATGACTCGTAGAACTTGGAGTCCTTGTGCAGTTCCATACCTAGAAAGTGAGGGTGAGATTGAGTTACTTTTCCGCCAGTGAACTTTGACCTCCTTTACTAACCAGTTGCTTCCGTGTTGGGCTCCACAACGCGATCACTGTCGCTCATATCCAGCTGGACGCGCTTACGCAGCTGGGCAGGCGGCCTGTATACGCGATTTTCTATGCTAGTCATGTCCATTTCCTTCTTGATTATCGTCGTCGTGTTAGAGATGGCCTGGAAAGCACCGGACTGGCCCAACTTCCCGCTGGTGTCCGAGATCGTGTCGCTGACGCCCTTGGCCTTCTTCGACAGCTCCTCGGTAACCTTCTTCGCGAGATCCGACTTGCTTGCATCGTCGAGAACATCACCCACCTTATCCTTGATGGCGTCCAGCTGCTCTTTCAGCTTGCTCGACGACTTCTGCGCCTCCGACTCGACAATATTAAACTTTTGTCGCGCCGACTTCAAGGCGTCCGACTCCTCAAGCTTCTGAGCCTCCTCCCGGAACTTGCGAATGTTGTCCTTGATCTCCTTGCTCTTATCCATCTCCGAGCGCATGTTGTCTATGAACTGCGAGAAGAAGCCGGGCCTGCGTCCTGCCTGCTGGCTGTAAAATCGTGGCTGCGGGGTGAAAGGCTGACTTAACCCGAGGGCCCCGTGGAGGTTAACCAGCCGGAGGCTCACCTGCTGGTGCTGCTGCTGCTGCGGGGTTTGCGTCAACTGCTGGCACGTGAAGAGGCCAGCGCGCTCCCGCACAATAGCAACAACTCTGTACTGAAATGAGAAAAATCATTTAGATTGAAGGTTTAACCTCGAAAATTGGCCACATGTATGCCAAGGGGGGCTTCGTCGCTGGAGACCGCCGCGATGCCCGAATGATGAGTGAAATTACCATGGTGGGAGTGACTGGTGACCTTTAACTGGGGTTTCGACCGGTGGCGAATGTTCGCGAGTATCGCGTCAGAGGCTCAAAACTTTATGTAATTACTGCCGCGAACCACGCACGTATCAGCGGTCAGCTGTTCTCTTCCGTTAAGCGCCCGCTCGTGTTGCACAACGTCTTTGGATCGTTAGCGCGCATTCGATTGTTTAGTTGTTCGATTGGTCGGTAGTCCGATAGTCTCAAGCGTCAGTGTGCGCGATTTTTAAATTTGTCTGCAATGGACACTGGTTGGGACGACGCGTGTTGTGTTGGTGATTCGTTTGGGGGGATATGTTTATATTTTTCGGTGATAAGTAAGGCTCACTTGCTGTGTTTTTGTATTTGTATGCATTGCGCTGTTTTCTCGGGTTTAATGCTGGTAAAAAAAACGTAAGATCTTGTTACCAATGTAAACGAAGACATAATAATCCATCGCATTAAGAAATTAATTTACATTAGATTAAATGATATTAAAATTGGTATTTTTAAATTGAATTTTGGCTATACGTACACCAAAATACAGAAGCTAAGGTCTTGCCATAAATAGGAATGCGAAATTTCTTCAAGCATTAATACAACTTGTGCCACCTGTAGCTTACAACCAGAGCTGACGTTTTCTACTATCGATTTTCTCGATGTTTTCACGAATTGAACAATTGAATCGATACTAAATATAATTAAAGCCATGTATATCTTCTATATATATTTTAATTATTTTTTTTACTAATTAGTTAATATTAAAGAGTATAAAAATGAATTAAAACGTAACAAATCATTTATTATTATTAATATTGGTATACAAAATAACATTTTATTTGTTTTCTAATGACGAAATCAAATGAATGGAAAATTTCGTTTTAAGCTTTGTAAAATAACCAAAAAAAAAATGTTTCAATACATCGAAAGTGCAAAAAAAAAAATCGAAGTATCGATAGTACTATGATATTTTGCCAGCACTACCAACAACCGTTACTTGGCGCTCTGTCCAAAAAAAAATCTGAAAATTATATTCCGTTCCGACACTTGTTACATCGCTTCCTGACCCAAAGTCCCCTGAAACCTAGCTTAAACGTTAATGTTCAGATTAAAGAAGTAACGAGAATACTTCATATAGTGTAACCCCGCTTGGTTTTTTGTGGACCTGTTGAAAGCAAAGCGCGCCGCTCCGGTACATTTTTTGACGGCAGCCATGTTTCGCAGCAATCTGGAAGGCAGCGCCGCATCTGTGAGTGCCCCCCATACCGGGTGGGAATATTCAACCGCTGACGATGCTCCTTTCCAGGACAACTTTGCTGCTTTCCACGGCAGGGGGGGCCTCAACTTGCTGGGCCTGCAAAACATTTACTTGGACACCAGTGGCGGAGGAAACAATAGCTTGCCGCCCACACCGTCCATCTCGTCCGCCACGCTCAGTCCGCCCAGTACTCCTCTGACACCGCTGACCCCCGAACCGACGGCGCAGACGACGCACTTCCCCCTACTGTCTGACAGCACCGCCGCGGCCAACACATTACTGCTCCAGCGCCAGTACCACTACCATTTGCTGCTCCAGCAACAGCAACAACAACTGGCCCTGGCGCAGCACCAGTTGGCGCTGGCGGCATCGGCGGCGGCTGTCAATGCAAATCACCAACAGCAGGACGAGATTGCTCGATCTTTAAAAAGATTTGCGCATTTGACGCCTGGCGCAGCAGGTAAGAAACGAGAGGGGAAAACAAAAATGGCGCGCTGACGACAGAGTTGAAAACTTAACGGGTGAGAAAGAGATGGCTTAATGTTGTAGTACAGTTAGACTAATGTTCATAGGCGTACTTTTGGGGGGATTAACAGAAGGTGCAATGACTTTGGAAAGTATTTTTGTAAACAAAATGGCGAGTTTAAGGTAATCTCTTGGCTGTTACTGTAATTTTCTTTGTTTTCGTTTTAACAATTGTATTTTGTTCTGGAACCAAATTCGGGGCTTTGGCCCTCGGTCAATGACTTCGCAACACTTTGGCGCGTTCATTTCTCAACACTCAAAAAGCCGAATTACCGTTTCTCGAATCTGTTGCGAATGCGCGTCAGCGTCTCTAGTATTGACGTTTTTACTTTTGGGAAATATTGAATCAAGAAGATTTTAGGACGCTTTGGAAATTTCTGGCTAAGAAACAAAATGTTGATCGATGCTGAAGTAATACTTAAAAATTATCACACCGCAGAGGACGCCGCTTGTACAATGCAGGAAGCGATGCAAGAGTTTGCGACCAACGGCTATGTGAGCGACGACATCAATCGTTTATCCTACGCCACTACACCGCCGGCTGCCCAGACGCCACCTCCGGCAATGCAGCAGCAGCAGCAGATGCACCTACCGTTGGGGCGCAATCCCCAGCTGCCGGTCAATAGCAATGTAATTCCGCTAGCGGCACCTCTCACCGCCCATTGGCTACAAACCTACAGGGAACAGCTGAACAATGTATGGCGCCACATGTCCTACATGCCGGCCGCTACCAATGTCTCGGGACTACAGGCTCAGGCCGCGCCAGCCATGTCTCCCAATATCGGGGTGGGAATAAATCTGGGCTTGCCTTTGCAGCCGGAACAAGTGCGGAACGGAACTAATCTCAATACCAACAACATAAACAAGATGCACAAGCGTTTTAACAACAAGGCTAAAGAGGTGAGTGCAGTCTTTTTAGTGGACCTAAGTTCTCAAAAGACGAAATCAAGTTATTCAATTGTTAATTAGGTAAAAAACTAAAAGATATATTTTTTTTGTTGTCACCTCAACAGATCAGCCGTCACTGCGTGTTCTGTGAGAACAATAACGAACCGGAAGCGGTGGTCAACAGCCACACGGTGCGGGACAACTTCAACCGAGTGCTGTGCCCCAAATTGCGCACCTACGTCTGCCCCATTTGCGGAGCATCTGGGGATTCGGCACACACCATTAAATACTGCCCCAAGAAGCCGATTATTACCATGGAGGATGCCATTAAGGCAGAGTCCTTTCGCCTAACTAAGAGTGGCTACTACAAGCAGCAAATGAAGGTCTAGATCCGACAACAAGTTCAGGAAGAGCAGAGGCTCTGGCAGCTTTTGCAGCGTTTATATAAACTGAAATATATATACGCGTTCCGAGCGAGGCTGGATAAAATACTAGACTGAAACACTATAAAGCGCCTGGCGCGTTCGATTTTATAAAGTTTTTAAACTTGTCCCGTGCCTATTTCTATAGTATATAGTAGTCACCAATCTATCACTCAACCAAAGTTAAAGCAAAAAAACATAAAAAAGGTTTTTGTTCGTTTCTGTGAAAAAGAAACCAAATTTTGTAATACAAGAGTACTCACGATATCGTAATGTTTGTTCAATCGTGTTCGAGGCCGATAGAAGCATCTCGCGATCCGGAAGTTAATGGAAGGAACTGCCGGCCTACAAGATTTCTTAAACATTTTAATCGTATGTTGTTCGTTTCAGGCCGACACGATTTCGGTATATGTATCTGTAATTGGAATACAGTGTGTACTAAAATTTTGAAATAAGAGAGAGCACTTTGAATATCGAACTGCCAATCATAATATAATATTAGAATTTAATATAAAGCCTGGAAAAGGAAAGATCAAGAAACACTTTCGATCAAATCGGCGACACCTAACATTTTCATTGTGAAAGTTTTTAAATTTTTGACATTCCATATATTTTGATAATTCAAGATACTTTTTTACTACATGTATCGCTTATATACATTCCAAACACGTCTATATATAAGTGAAATATATATATATTTTTTAAACCGTGTTCTCGCCCAGTCTCAATTTTCAAAAATGTAATCAACTAATTTTAATTACTATTGAGCTTATAAAATTTTATATTTTTTTAAAATGATGTACATAAATGAAGTTGAAGAAATGTAATAAAGATTTCTCTTAAGTTCTAAGCTAATAAATCGTATTGTTTTCTAATCCTCATCTCCGTCTCTGCGCTTCTCAAAGAGAGCCAGAAAAATGCCATCGGTTAAATCACTATCTGGCAAACAATAAAGACAATTCTTTCCGATCTTTGCGTACTCCTTGTCGCCCACATTTTGCCACTTGTTACGCAGCGCCTTCTTGCAGCTCAGCAGCTTGAAGGAGGGATTTAGCTGCAGGCAACGCTGCACCACCTGCTCATTTTCCTCCTTCCACAAGGAGCAAGTGCAATAAGCGATCCGTTTCACATTGGGGAAAGCGCTCATGGCGTGCGACAGGATCTTGATCTGTAGCCCAGCCAGTTTATACAGTCGTTTGTCATCCTTCTGCTCGTCGCACACACTGATGCGGCTCTGCATTCCATTGCCAGAGCAACTGGGATCCACGAGGATGTACTCTACATCCGGACAGCGTTCCGCAGCTGCAGGGGTTTGACGAATTAGTTTATATTCAAATCTCAAAAGACAACTACTCACTCATCGTCAAGGCATCACCCAGAATGGGTGTCACAATTTCGCAACCAGCCTCGTTGGTTATGTCGCACAGCGCCTTATAGCGCTCCTTGGACTGTTCCACCGCGTAGATGCGCCCCTTGTTCTGCATCACGTTACACATGTGCAGTGTCTTCATTCCAGGGGCTGCGCACATGTCCAGCACTGTGGAGCCTGTTGGAGGAGCCAATAGCTCAGCGGCCAAGCAGGTTGCCTTATTCTGCAATATAAACTTCTTGGCGTGCACAAAGTCATGACCGGCCCAGTAGTGTGCCCACTTGGGATGGAAAATCAACACACACTCCACATGCAAATCCGTCATGAACTCGTCCTCCTCCAGGGCTCTAATCGCGTTGAGAAAATCTGCATAACTGGCATCCGCTGGCAGCTCCTTTCGCCGCCACTCCTCTCCAGCCAGGTACTCCAAGGCCTCCGACAGACTGAGTAGATTGGTATTGATGCGCACATAGCGGGGGTTGGGTTCTGTTCAGGCGGATGAAAAGACAAATGAAAGCATAGTTTAAAAGTGTGTCATATGTTGATTTATTTAAAGTAGTTTTTAACTAAGTTACTGATCCTTTCAAAGATGCGCATGCTCCGCCCATTACTGTTTCTTTCTCACAAATGTCTCTCAGATTGTTTTCGTTTTGGGAATGAAATATTGAAATTAAATTGATATCAAAGGTAGGTTTTGATGGATTTTGGGTTCCATAACTTCCATTTCATGATGGTAACAAGTTACTGTTCCTTTTTGGAATCAGCATCATCCTCCTCAACCTTTTCCTCCTCCTTGACCTGCTCTAATGGCGGTGGAGACTTCTCGCGGAAAGCCTTCAGCACATACATGGCCACTACTAGATTAACGACTAAAACAGCCGTCAGAACAGACCAGCAGTTGACCGTGAATACGTCCAGATGGGGAAATGATTCCTGCAGCCAGCTGCGCACACCGTAAAAGCCCAAAAAAGGCAACGTGAACATCAAGACGCTGTAAGCCATTAGCCATAGGAACACTTCGGCACTAGTGTCTTCCTCTTGGGGAGCGGACTCCACTGGAGGCCCGGGTTTAAACTCCGCTGGCGGATCTGCGACAGCCGGCGCAACATCCACCTGTTGTTGCTTCTTGTTCTTTTTGGCCATAACTCAGCCGGCTAATGCTGCAAGTGGGTCGGTGAACCTGCCTTTCTTCTGGATCCCGGAGCCGCTGATCGCCTGCTGCAGCTTCTCCTGATAACTCCGCACTGTCTGCACCGGCCTGCTCTCTCCGTTGAGCTGCTTGCGCCCGAAAATCAGTTCGGTGACTAGAACCTTGGCCAAAGAGGCATCCAGATTGGGGTTGTCCTTCAGGAGTCCTGTCTCCTCGATGGCGTTGTCCACGGCGCCGCGATTGTCGCTGTAATGTTTCAGTACCGCCTGCAAGCTGCGAACACGCTGCAATTGGACAGAAGAAACATGCGTTATTTCGATGTTTTACCGCCCGTTCGCTCCTAGGACTCACGGCATGCTTCTCCTCGAAAATCAGGGACTTTATGGACTTTTGTTTATCCAGCGCCGTCTTCAGAATTTTTGCCGTCGCCTTGTATTGGGTTGGAACTTTTACAGAATGGTTAAATTTACTCATTTTCGTCACGTGCGTCAGATTTTCTGTTTATAATGCTCCGGTTCGTGAGAAAAGGTGCGGATTTTTGCCTCTGACGCAAGTGGTCACTCTAAATTAACGTGGGGAAAATAAGTTCGCACTAAAATTGCCGTGGGGAAAAAGCTGAAAGTTGAAACAGCTGGCATGGGCGGCAAAAATGTTTTATTTTATCTAATTCTATTCAAAGATATCTTTTATAATTATACAATTCCGATTTTAAATTCATGAAAATCGAAATACTATATAATATAACTTCCAGAGAAACGGCTGTTAAATGTTGAGGATTAAAACAGCAAGTTACTATGAACAGTAAGTATCTATGATCAGTAATTAACTATGATCAGTAAGTATCAATGAACATTAAGTAACTATGATCAGTAAGTATCTATGTATGATCAGTTACTAACTTTGAACACTAATAAACAAGACTTGCAACTTTTGTAACACAACACATTTCTGAGACTTGGCCGGCAGAAGTCACTTCGTTCCGAGTCTGTTAGAACCAGTTAGGAATCATATGCACACATGTGTGAGATTTGTTTTTGAACAAATTTAAGAGCAATCTATTTAAATGAAACTATGGAGTTATTCGTCTACATAATTTTACTAATTTACTGGAGCTTGGCGAATCGGTAAGCTATATATGTATGTATATACATATGTACATATATATAGCTGCCATAGGAATGATCGTTAAAAATTAAGGAAAATTAAAAACGGCAAACTTCGGCCTGCCGAAAATGAAATTTTACCCTATGAAACTTATTATAAAATACATTCATGGAGAGCTAGCCTCTCCGTTTGGAGCTATGAATGTAAATGTCTGAATGAAAGTTTCCAAATAGTCTTCTTTTCAATTCTTATTATAGTAAAATACGATAATTTTATAATATTTATGTAATATTATGTAAGGTTTATATTTCTCCCTAAAGGGTTTTTTATTTGACACAACTTGATTAATATTCAATGATCCAAGGGTAAACTGCTAGGGTATAGAAACTTCGCAAAATTAGCTTCTTTAATTTTTTTTATTTCTTTTGCGCCGCTCGCCAACATTTGGCCCAATTAAATTCGGTATTAAAAAAAGGAGCTCCCTCTCTCGCTCTGCGGCCAAAAAAAAATTACACAAAAAGAGCCGGGAACAAAAAACCGGAATTCCAAGCCTGAGCCGAAGAGAACGAGTGAGAGAAAGAGCGAACAAACTAAGAGAGTACTCAAAAAGTACACACATAAAAAACATAAACAAGCCTTTTTTCATTATGTGTGCGAGAGAGCCACCCCATCTCGCTCACTCATCGCGCTCTCGCTGCCTCCTTCCTTCCGCTGTTTGAAAAAACTCGCTTCGGCTGTGATTTTTTTTCATTCGAATTTTCACCGCGCTGCCGAACGAACGGTTCATTCCTTCGAGTTCCGTTTCGTTCTGCTTTTTGTTGCTGCCCCGCGACGTAAACAACCGAACCGAAGTGTGGAGCTTGTGCGGATTACGCCGCCATTCCAGCCCCCTTTGCCCCACGTGCTAGTTGTAATTGCAATTAATCCCACTCGGTAGTCGAAAAAAAGGCTGACAAAAAACGGGCCAAAAGCACAAGTGCAGAAAAAAAAGAAACTTGCCAGAAACTCTGCTCCTGTATGTGTGTGTGCGTGCGTTGGTGTCGGTGTGTGTATATTTTTGGCGTGCGCGGCCATTTTTTCTTGTTGCCACTCGAGAGTGTCTTCGAAAGAGAGGCCCGGCCGCAGAAACTACGCAAATCCCCACTAAATTCGCCAACTGAGGCGCTAATTTGCGGAAAATAAATCAATCGCAGTGGCGCCGAAAACAAACAAACAAACGTACAAAAATAGAGTGCCGCAAACCACAAACAACTTACCTGAGCGCGCGAGTGTGTGTTGTGTGTATGTGTGTGAAAGAGGCTAGCACATCTACGTAGGCGCCTTCCCCCCGTTCGTTCACCCACAATCCGGCAGCGAACACGTGCTCGCGCATTAACGGCCAAAAAAATATCAACAAAAGTTGGCCGATAAGGAAGAGCAACAAAACTGCATAAGCATCATCAGCAGGCGACACACAAAAGGCTCCTTTAAATTGGTTAGTACTTGCACCAGCATATGTTTTATATACATATTTGCCTTATTGGACAAACACTTGAGCGCTCTGCTTCCCGCGTTCATCGCACGGTGGGACAGTTACTGAACATTTGTTAGAATTAATTATGTATCTTGATGTTCAAAGCAAATTTGAAATATAGAAAATATGTCTTTGTTTAGGATTCTTGTGAAATTCCTTTATAAAAAAATATTATTTGATTATGTTTTTAAACAAATTTTGTTCTATTCACTTGAATTAGTGATAATTTAAATTTCTTATTTGTTATAAAGTATTATTAAGTGTTTGAAAACCCTGAGGACGGGATTTCATGCAAGCCCTTAAAATATACAGCCTTGATAAACACAAAACTCTAACTAAATCTTAATTATAACTATTTTCGAATTTAAAATACATTAAAATAGAAAAGGTTCCATTCGGACTATTATGGATACTAGTTTAATAATAAATTAATCAAAACGTGACTTAAGATTTCCAGTATAAAAATTAAATATTAAATTACTTTTTCTGGTAGTTTGTTAATTTAAGTGATGCTTTTATTTATTTATTTATTTTGTGAAATACCCCAAATTATTTACAATATCAATCTTCTCATATAATGAGCCTGATGTATTTTCGCATTACAATTTCCATTTATTTTACTGGGTAAAATAGGATTGATAGCCACAGTAAGATATTAAATAATTTAATTTAAAAGGTATAACACATCTTGTGACCCCACTGTACCTTTAGTTATATTTATTTAATGCTTTTTTTGTAACAATTTCTTTTTTGTTAATCAATTTTGGCTATTAACACGTCATTAAGGTAGAATAACTTCAAAAAACAATATCGCAAAACGGACACAATTATTTGACCGTCCGCTTTGTCGCTTCTTTTTGACTTTTATTGTTCGTTCCCCATTCATTCGGTGGCGGTTTTTTTTTGTACGTTGTGTGTCGTGTCTTTTTTTATCTTCCACTTTTTTTGTATTCATCAAATATTCGCTGCTTTTTTCGCACACATTGTCGCCCCCAACTGAGCGAGAGAGTTTGTTTATGTTGCGCTCTTGCTCGCTCTTTTGCTCTCTTTTGTTTTCAGCTGCTTGCGCTCAATTAATTTTCGTTGATTCGTTTTTTGTGGCCATGTTGCTGTGCCAGAGTGTGTGTGTGTTGGTTTTTTGTGTATACCATTTTATTTATATGCTTTTCGGGCTTCTCTTTTTCCCCCAATTTTTTTCTGACCGCTTGCGTTACATTTTTTTTGTATTTCCCATTTGCATTATTATCAGGTTGAGTGGCCGATTTTCCGTGTTTGTAGATCTGTAGTTACACGATGTTTGTTCTTGTTTCGTTTTCTTTTTCTGCGTTCTTTTAATCATCACTTTCGCTGAAGTTGGTTTTGTTTGGTGTTTTAGTTGCGATTGTTTGGCCAGCAAACAATTGTTTGTCGCCTTGTCTCGCTCTCAATGTGCGCAACAAGCGAGTCCTTCTTTACATTACCCATTACACTTCCCCTTCTCATTCCCCCATCTTCCCTTTATGTTTTTTCTGCTGTTCAATTGTCCAACGTCAGCAACAACAACTAAAAAACCGGTTATTTTGGTCAGGCAACAAAAACAAATAGCAGCCAAAACCGAAATTACCTCTGACGTCAACACCCACCCGACTAAAAGGTCGTAATCAATGTTGCGCATTCAACTTTTGGGAATTTACATAATTTAATTGTGACGATTTATCTCCATACAGCAATAAATCAGACCAAAGTTACAATTATTTATTTTATATACTCCCAAATAATGATAATAATAATCAATACAAGTAACAATTTTTAAAATGTTCTGAAAGCCAAGATGTTTATATTATTGTTGAAGGCACAATGAAGTTAGCCGAATATGAATACATATGTATCTACATTTTAACATACATAACAATATCTTAATAATTTAATTCTTATTATATACAAAATAATATCTTCACGATAGTGTTCATATATTCCGATTTAAAATAGTGGAATAATTTAAATATTAAAAAAACTAGCATAAAAGGTGGCTAAATTTTCAAAAGTGTAAACTAAACAAAAGTATAAACTTTTTTAACGATCTTTGACTTGTGATTAATTGTTTTCACACAATATAAATGTTAACATTTTAACATTTAATCGATCCTCTTTATAGCCCTCATATATTTGTTAAATAACTGCTTAAAATATACATACATATGTACCTACCTCTCGACTTTAATATTTTCTTCATATTTATCAATAGTGGGTGTAAGACCTTTTTATTCAAACTATTATTAGTCAGTTTTACTAAAAGAACACTTAATTGTTGTAAAAGTCCTAGTCGATATATGTATGTAAAACTTTAAAGTCCCATAATTTCATTTTAATGGCTATATTTAGATATTTGTAGTAAAATAGTATTTAAACGTATCCCAATTTCCCTTTTTATTTCAAATTAGAGCTTTTAATGTTGCACAATGCTTAATAAAATTAAATTAAAACATTTTAGGTATGCTAAAGTTATATATCTAACATCTAAATGCACTTAATATGTTTCAAAGAACCTTATGCAATTGCTGCTTCCATTTGACTCAAATGTTTTTAAAGTAAATGTTACTGCTTTTAAAATATCGAATATGTACCTTGCTTAGTACGATTCCGTTAGTTAATGACAACATACTCACATATGTATGTACATATGTAACCGACAGGATATCCTCAGACTCTCATTTCCTACTTAGTTCTTTGTGATAGCTTAAATTTGGCAGTATCTCTAACCAATCACATTACCAACAACAGATTTAATACTGTGCCAAGCTAACAGCATTGGTCCATTGAAAGCACAGATGCACCGCCCCAAAAAACTGTCGGAGATGTGTGTAGTTGCAGCAGCTGCGTTTTGGTTCGAGTTTTCGAGGTTGTTGACACGTTCCGTTGGCGCCCCTGACTTTTTTTGCCAGGCCATCATCATCGTTGGGCCGCGGTAACCGCGATTGCGATTTTTCGGTTCTTCAAGCAGAACGAAAAGCGAAGAAGAATCCATTTCGCTTTCCATCTTGTTGTCACCAACAATTTTTGGCCGCAAGCGCCTTTTTTGTTTATCTTGTGACTTTTTTCCGTTGACTTATTGTTTTTTGCCCCGGCATTGTTATTAATTCTTTTCGCTTTTTGCGCCACACTCGCAACTTTTTTACTAGGTTGCTGCTTGCCATTTCTTTTACGGCTGTGCTTGTGCTGCTGGACTTTTGTTCCAGAGCGCAGCACGTTTAATTCACAAACAATTAATTAATTCATGCACATTTATGTTAATGTGCAGAAATTAATGTACCCCACGAGACGTGGGGAAGGGACGGGCAGGGGGGCCAACGTGGGGTAGTGGCGAAGGGAGCGCGAAGCGGAATCGAAAAGTAGTTTAAGCACTTGTGCCGACTAGGCACAATTTACTGGATTCAAGAATTACAATATTTCTGTACTTTCAGCACAAACCCGCGACGAGTTTTGTAAGCTCGCAGTAGTGAAGTGTCGACTTGCCGACGACGACGACGACGACGACAACGACGACGACGTCGAGCACCGCTGTTCCATCCCCAATCCCATTCCCTCCATACCATTCCACTCGCGCTAGTCGCACCGTTCGAGCGGCTTAGACCCTTCGACGATCACGCCCCCAAGCTGGACGCTCGCACCATAGCCTATCGCCCGCTGACCCTTGGCGGCCACCAGCCGACGCTTATGGCCGAACTGCCGACGGCGCCGAACGGCGTCCCAAGCGGCGATTACCTGCACCGCTCCATCGACCAGCTGCGATCTTTGGGTCACTTGACCACGGCCCAATTGGTCCACGAGTACAAGCCTTTCAACATCACCGAGTTCCGGCAGAATGTTGCCGAGCGCCTAGACTACTCGCTGAAAAGCGGTCTGGTACAGCATCAGCAGCAACATTTGGTTATGGAACAGCAACAACAGCAGCAGCAACATCCCGATCCCCAACAACAGCAGCAACAGCAACAACATCTGCACCACCAGCAACAGCAGCAGCAGCATCATCAGCAACAAGCAAAACCAAACTACAGTCCACCCAACTCACCGCCTACGCCCCACGAGCAGCCGGAGCAAAAGGTAAGTCTCTTAGGCAAATCTCAATCTATCTTAGACCCTTTGAAACAGCCCCAGAAACCCAATTGCAATTCAAACTTATCTGTACGTATTCCTCGTTTCTTTCCAGTACGATCCTAGTAGATCACCAGCGCGCCAACAGATGAGCAACGGCAGTGGAAGCGGCAGCAATGGCTCCTCACCGGAGGAGGAGGGCCGACGGAGCGACGGCGACCAGACAAAGCCGTACAAGTGTGCCTCGTGCAGCAAGTCATTTGCCAACTCCTCGTACCTGTCTCAGCACACGCGGATCCATCTGGGTATCAAGCCATACCGCTGCGAGATCTGCCAGCGCAAATTCACGCAGCTGTCGCACCTTCAGCAGCACATTCGAACTCACACAGGTGACAAACCGTACAAATGCCGGCATGCCGGCTGCCCGAAGGCCTTCTCGCAGCTCTCGAATCTGCAGTCACACTCCCGCTGCCATCAAACGGACAAACCGTTCAAGTGCAACTCCTGCTACAAGTGCTTTGGCGACGAGATGACCTTGTTGGAGCACATACCCAAGCACAAGGACTCCAAGCATCTGAAGACGCACATCTGCAATTTGTGTGGCAAGTCCTATACGCAGGAGACCTATCTGCAAAAGCATTTGCAGAAGCATGCCGAAAAGGCGGAGAAGCAGCAGCATCGGCACACGACTCAGGTGACAGCTGCCCACCAACAACACGTGCCGGCCGGCGGCATTGGCTTGAATCTGCAACGCCAGGCAATGAACGACGTAAACGCTGCTTACTGGGCCAAGATGGGGGCGGACAGTGCGGCCGCCTCGCTGGCGGAGGCCATACAGCAACAGTTACCACAGGCCACCGGTCAGCCATACGGGAACTTTGCCTCCCTGCAGCAACAGCATCAGCAACAGGAACTGCTGCAGCAGCATCATCAGCGTTTGGCGGACACGCCCGGTCACTCACACAGTCCGCATGAGGAGGCCGCAGGCGAGGTTCTTGTCCTGCGACAGTCTACGCCACAGCATCACCTTCAGCAGCAACAGCAGCAGCAGCAACAACAGCAACATCCGGCGCAACACCAGCCGTCGCCTGGTCCCGGGTCGTCGGCTTTTACCCCACTGGCAGCCACAGTGGCACCACCACCGCCGCCCCCACATCTTCAACAGCATCGCGGACCGCCGGCGGCCACTGCCGCATATCTCTATCAGCAGAATGCGGCTGCTGCCGCTGCCGCCTTTCCCACTCAGCTCATCTCGCTACATCAGATCCGGAACTATGCCCACCAGCCAGGAGCGGCGGGCCTCATCGCTGGCGATCACCTCACCCTGGGCCTGAGTGCCGTGAATGCGGCCAAGGAGAAGGCGCAATAGTATAGGCCGGGTCGTGGCCAAAAGAGGCAGCAACGATGACATTAGTTTAAGGTTTCCGTTTCAACTGGTTTGGATTCGAGTTCACACTAGATGAACCCTCGAGCCCAACCCAATTGAAACGATAGAAGTAACAGTAAGTTAGAAGTTAGTTAGGCGCATTTGCTAATAAGGAGCATTGCATTGCAGCTGGTTTTCCTGAACCCGAACTATCCACATATCCAAAACCACCTTGATGTTGTATACGAATCAGCCAAAAATAAGCAACAATTCTATCACTGCCCAAGACCGAAGATTAAACCAACTGCAATGCTTTAGCTCCTCGCTAATGCGATATTAAGAATATTACATCTAGATCGACTCAGGATTTTATATACGATATTTATATACCCCTATTCCCTTCCCTTTTTAGATATATCTGTAAGCAATATGTAAAATAAAACTCTGAGCTATTTAAATAAGTTAAATTTGAATAGATCACAGTTTTAGTATAAGCTAGCAGCCGTACAAAGTACATAATATATATTTGACCTAGATTGTACATAGATGTATGTAAATGTGTGCTGTATATGTAAACGTACTTTAGATACTTTCTAATTTATCAACTAATTAGTATCTTAAGGATATTTTCTACCTGTTAGGCAAGCTGAAAGTGAGAAATCGATTTCAAAGTGTATAATTCAAACCCTAATAAATTTGAAAATTATTTATAAAATAAAACTAGACATTCGCTTTCTTATTCAGTCGCAGAAATAGAATTTTAATTATAATATGCAACGATCTAGAAAACTGCAACCTAATCCGCTTAGCGGCCTCAAGAAGAGCGAACTCCTTTTGTGGCAGAGAGGCGACATAAGAGATTTATGTTCACCCCATATAATCGGAGTATCCATCCACAGGGGAAATCGGATCGAGGTTTATCTTTGAGTCTCTCCCCGCTAGCAGCTGCCTGGCTTAAGACGTAACACTGGCGTAGTTCTTAGGGGGGTTGGCTTCGCCAAAAAAAAGTGCTCTGTCAGATATGTAGGTTCCCTCGAATCAAAATGCTTGGCTGCGCTCGAATGGCGATTAATGATTGATGACTGATTGAGTCTTGAAACTTTTTGGTCGTCCCATCGACTGGGAGATTAATGAGAATGATTCATTTTACTGGATTGGATTGGGTCTTGAGTTCTTTTCGATGTGTTTTGCATATACGCGGGTATTTTTACCTGATATGAAAAACTAGTTCAGCGTGGCTTTCGAGACTTCTTCACTCTGCACGATTTGCAACTTGAAGTCCAAAGAGTTCGATCTACTTCAGAAATTAGTGAATTTAAAGAACTTTACAGTGGACGGTGATGATGGAGTTACAAAGATCTTAAGACCTTTGACGGATTAGTAAGCTGATATCCAAGATATATTCAATCTATGAGCAACTGGTTGGGCTTTATCTCAAATATCTCTGAGCAAAAACGAATTTCATAGCTAATTAATAAAACAATAAATTTAAAAATCCCACAAAAAACCAGTTTAAGTTGTTAACAGGTGTTTTTGTATTCATTATTATATTTTCTCTGTCTTTATTTAGTTTTTTTTTTTCCTTGGCTCAGTGCTGAGCACAGCGTTTGAATGGGATTATAAATAGCAGCAAATTTTGCTAAATAAACAAAAAACCAACAGCTTTTATGATATTTTTATGCCTCTAATAAAAATGAAATAAAATCACCTAAATAGCCTCTAACAATGGGGATTGTTGGAAATAAATAGACACCCACAAAAGGAGTTAGGGCAGCAGACAATGAAGTTGATAGAGACATAAACTCGCTAAAAGGATTCTTTGTTTGTCAACAAAGATCGGTGTCTTTGCCAAAATTCGGCACGATCCTTTGGCAAAAAAAAATAAAGTAAACAAAAAAGGGCAGGACACACTTGAGCGAGCTACAAGGATCGCTGACAAGAAACCAACAAATCATCAAAGTAGAATTGGCAAACACACCGCAGAGGACAAAGCCCAGGGATAAAAGGGATTTGGCGATCGATAATCGATCATTTGGCAGTTGTGCAAAACGCTAAACAAAGGCTTTCACAATGCAAAAATGAGGTGAAGGGGGCAAGGAATCTTTTTAGCACATCTACGAACCCTTTTTCCTTTTTTTTTTTTGAGGGCTCTGCAACCCAATGTTTGCCAATAATTTAATTGATAAATGATTTGATTTCTGCCAGCCATCGCCATCAATCATGGAGAAGCATTCAAAGCATCGAGGCCCTGTCTACGCGCGATTAGCATATCAATGCGCATTATTATAGATGCACTAATGATCATGGGATTGTTTGGTGGTTATTGTCCCCGATCTTCGGGGTGGCTCTTCTCCGGCTCCTTTTACTTTTCTTTCGGGTCTGTCTTGTCTTTGGGTGCTGAAATCATCACGATTTCGTTCCCGTTGGGAGAGTCTCATCAGGCTTTGTTATGCTAACTATGAGAAAAAAATGAGGACCATGTCCTGGCTGGGACTGTCACTTTTACTTGCAGCTTGATCGATATGATAATTAGAATGCAGTGCCCGAGGCCCAAGACAGACAGCTCTTCCCTGAGAGTGGCATCTGTCTAAGGAGATCCTAAAAAAAGAGGAATGTTCTAAAGACATATAATACATTTGTTGTATTAAATAGTCCAAGAATGAATATATTATCTAAGTGAATTCATATTAATTTAATTACCTTGCAACTAGAGTAATTAGAATATAAATATATTTTAATAACATTTCAATATTTAAACATTAACTAAACTAGTTAATATTATAGATCTTCCTTTACCAGCTTAGATGTAATCTTCAGGAAACCGTTTCTTAAACTCCATCTAATACCAGCTGAAAATTCATCATGTCCTTATATTTTGTATATATCTTGTCCCTACAGTTTTTGTTTCAGTGCAGTTTTCGAAAAGGACATTATGCAAAACTACTTTCATTTGAATATTGTCTATGCAGTTTCAATGCCAAGAGATCATTTCGGTGCCTGCAGAAAGGCATCAATAGATTTATGGTTTCTAAACTCCAGACCCGAAATCAAAACACACACCCAAAGCAAAGGAGGGAGAGATAGTAGGACCCGATCATCGTCATCAGGGGTTGCACACAAAACATCCGCCGGATCTGATTGTACAAAAAAAAAAAATAAAAAGAAAAACGTTTCACCCCAGAGAACGACTCGTTCTTCTTGGCAAATGAAAGGACTCGAAGAGGGATCCTTTCTCTCGCACAACCCGTTCCCTCGAATGGCATTTAGTCGGTTCGCCATTCAGCGATTCTTTTGGATAAACTATTTATGAAATTATTATACAATGCACACAATATGCGGATACACTCCACCGATTAGCCTGGGCTTTGAACAGATCGATAGAGAATGGCACGAAGGTGTGTATGTTTTTCCCATAACTTCTTGTTCCTGTGGCATTTGCATTTCATCCTTTCTCAGTCGAGAGACACTCTGAGGTCCTTGCCAATTGTGATCCAAACGTATTGTTCGATTCTAATAAGGTGCGATATTGTGAAATTCGATGCGATTTTCGTTAGCTATTCTTATAACCATATTTGCACCCTTTGAGCGGAATGGATATTCGCACACCCAAAATTGGAGGGCACACTCTATGGCCCTATTGTTGAGGTTAAGGTTTCTCTATATGGATCGGTCCTGTGTTTGGATTGATTTCCCCTTTATCACTTCGATTGTTGGGTAATTGATACTTAAGCGAATATTGGCATATTGCCAAAAATAAAAGAAGAAGGTTTGTGGGGATTTTATTAAAGCGTTTTGATTGCCAATTTGATGAGTAAATCGAAGATGATTTGAGATGGCTAGAGTGCTTGATGCATATTTGCATTTGATTGATTTCTGGGATTGCAAATGCATTTCCATTTACTTTATGCATTCATTAAGTTCCTTTATATATTGAGTTTCATTTCCTTGCCCTAAGTTTGTTTTATAATAATCCCTTGTTTGAGATAGTATTTCATTATGAGAGATCAACATATGATGGATGAAGGTTGAGTAATGCCAGAGTATAATTTAAGGCAGAAGCTTGTAACGCAGTGAAGAAGTAATTTCCGACCCTATAAATCATGTATATTCTTGATCAGAGTCATCGGCCGATTTGAACTAGTCATGTCCAATCGAAAAATAAATTTTTGAAATTTGACAAAAAATTGAATTTTTTTAAATTTAAAAACTGAGTTAGCAGTTTTGTTAATCTACTAAAAACTAGCATAGAACAGCTTTCTGAATTAAAATTAACGATTTTTTGGCTTAGTTATGAGTTTTTGAAGCTTTCCTTTCTTGTTCCTGTTTCCCTCTCTCATAAACTTCATCTTTATATTTCATATAAATTGAAAGTCTATTTAATGGAAAACCCAATTATAACGTTTCTCTTCCTCAACAAACAACACATTTTTTTAAACCTATCAAGTACTTAACAATGTTTACAATTACTCAAATTTCCAAAATAAATCTTTGACAACCAACACGTGTTAAATTAAATAAAAAAAAGTTGAATAAAATGGCAAAAAATAAATGTTAACTGCGTAATTGAAAGAAAGGACATTGTGAGCAGGATTCAGCCATGAAATGACGCACTAACAAACATTTAATTACCATTTTCGCACCGCCCTTTGTCGGGGAGCTGTTTTTCCCAAATCTCACGACAAAAAAGTACCCAAAAAAATGTTGGTAAAAAACGGCTACAATCAACGCGAACAAAAAAAACTTGTCACACGGGATTTGAACATTTTTAAAATAGGGAAGAAAAAATACGCGGCAAAAAAGCTGAACTCACTGCAATTATAGACGACTTTTTTCGGTAGTCAAGCATAAAAAATTAGGGACCAAAAAAATACAAAAAGAAAAAAAAATGGGTTAAAAAAGTGCAGAGGCCAACAATGAGGGCTGCAAGGATGAGCTCACAGCCCGGGTTTTTTTTTATCGGGAGGACATAAAAAATCTCCCAAAAAAGTATGCAACGGGCGGCATTTGGTTACCTAATTTGAATATTTGGCGCTAGAAATTTTCTCACGATTTTTTTTGTTGACTACCCACAGCCCAAGACACACACGCACTCCGGGGCTCACAAGGTTCAGGGTGACGATCAAGGATAATGAAAGGACTCGAACAAAAAGACGGGCAGACGGGCCTAGAAGACAAGGAGTAAAAAAATCCAGATTTTTTACCTCATTTCCATGCGGAAGCGTTTCCTTGCGCGAACCGCCAAGGGCGATAGGACAAAAGAGGACGAAAGGATGCCTTAATTTATGCACAACACGTTCGCGGATCGGACGCCCAAAAGGGTTGAGGGAACCCGAGAGCACTACGTACGTTCCCGGGACATCGTCTCGCATTTGCATACGTGATCTAGGCAGAAGGGTGCGTCGCCAAGCAGGACAGGGTCAAACATCATTTTTCATATATCCTCCGTAAAAAAACGAGGTCTAAACGAAAAAAAAACGGATGCTCTTTGAAATAGAAAAATACGTAAATTATTTAAATTACGTTTTTTTTTCGGAAATTTCTGTTAGTACGCAGGATCAAGGTGTGTCCTGTGAGCTGCTATTCGTCAGCCTTGCTAAGATGTTCATCTGGGTCACTGTGCTAGGTAAACAGCCCAAGATCCCATCTGCAGGGAGTAAGGACCTCTCTCTGGTCCTTCCTTCTTCTCCTTGGTTTATTTGTTGAACTATTTTGCATATTTAACATTGTCTCTGATCTATTTTGCATATTTTTGCATAGTCTCTGTCGATTTGAGACGCCTTTGGCAGAATGCTTAATCAATATTTGCTCATTAGTCACAAGCAATAATTTTAATTTTAATAATTTGAACAGTCTCTTGAGGGCTTAAAGGCAAAATGAGCCGCAGCAGCTGTGTAAGCGGAAAAGGAATCCATACTGTAAAAAGATACTTTCAGTTGTTATTTAAAACCTTTATTATGGTCTCCAACTTTATTTAACACCTTTTTCGCAACATCTTCTTATTAATAGATTTAAGCCCGAAAAGTGATTTCGTAATAAAAACACTTTAGTTTAAGATTAAAATCAGATAGCCGTATTAATCACAAAACAAAACGAAATGAACTAAGCGTCAAAGTATGCCAAACTCTGAGCAGAAAATTAATCAAATTATACCCTATCAGGAGATAAGCAAAATAATATCCATCAAATTCTATCATTTGTATACGGGGATCGTAAAATTATGCAAAATATTACCCGTTGCTGAAATAGAAATTTTGCAAAAGCCACGCAACTTTTTTGTTAGCTTTGTTTGCGTGAAATTAATTAAGTTACTTAATTACAGGTACAAGATATGGGCAAAGATCGATCCCCCCTTCACCACTGAATCTGCAAACAGGTTGACTTGTGCCAAAATATATTTTTTTGGCAAAAGGTTTACCTGTGGGCCATTAGTGGGAGTTGAATTTGGTGATCATTTTGAAGTATTCGCCGATGGTGGTACCTTGAAAAAAGTAAATTCAAATAAAGATATTCCCAAGCTGTTTATTTCAAACGGTATTAAATGAACCACAACTTGAATTTTTTGGCAAGTAAAATTTTTGGTAGAAGCGACAGAATGATTGATCGTGTGCCAATTGTTGACGAAGACAAAAAATAAAAACGTAAGGCGTAAAGTGGAAGAGAGAAGCCGAACATTAAAACATTTTATTTTTGTTGTGGTTACCTTTGTTCTCAGCCAAATAAATTAAATTTGTATTTACCATCTGTATTTGTTGTTGCTGTGAGTACGCAATTTAAGTGAAGAATCGTCTTCTAGTCAAACCGGTTGGCACTCGCGATTGCCTTTTTAATCTGTAAGTCTTTTTTTAAATTTGAGCTAACACCAAGTCAAGGGGCTGGAGAATAAGATATCTTTAGTAGGAGATCCAGGAGTTCTAATCCAGAACATACTTTATTTAAAACTGAATATAAAACATTATATAAAATAAATATAAACCTGGAATTCACTTAAACGAATACTTAATCTTTGGTTAGAAAAAGATATGTGATCTTATAAAGTTATCTAACTTCTTTAAAATATAAACTTAATCTCCGACCGAACTTTACTTCGTTTTAAATTCAAGCTATATTGTAAAAACAGCTTTACAAGAGTAGTATAATTTATTGGCAGATTTTAGAAGATTTAAATGAGTGATTCCGACCATTCAGAATAAAAATTTAGCATTATTTTTAGAGTTTTCCGGGTACTGACTAAAATCGAGAAAACGGGTAGGTTGGAACTTAACACTTTGTGCACCCCATCCATTCTTGGGGTTACCCGCCATAATTCAAACACAGAACGGCGAAACATTGTTTTAGCGGCGAAGCAGTGTAACTGTATGTGACTATTATTTTCGCCGCAAATGGGATTTTTTCGCCAGCCAGCTGTTCACACCAACACGCAGAATTTTTTTTAAAAACAACAAAATTGGCGCATAAGTAATGTTTTTAAATGACCTAGGACAGCCACTTATATTAGAGGCTGGAAAGAAATACGGCCCCTTCGAGCAGGTGGGGATTCTATTGTCCATTAACATATTTACATATAGGTTGATCCTCTAGCACCGTGGAGCACTGGTCCTGTCGTCTGCCGCATTTAAAGATCATGTTGTTCCAGAGGAATGGTCCAAACTCGTCCTTGGGTCGGAGGCGGACCTTTGTTTTCTTCAACTGCAGAATGTTTTTAAAAACGCCCATTTCACGAACTGCACTTTGAAAACGTTGAGCCCCAATAAACCAACTCAAATAGAGCACGGTGGAACCAAGATCACAATCACGTTAATACCAGCGGGCAAAAGCGAAGATGACTTCATTAACCTGTACTACATCGAAAGTAAGTTTTTCCAAAGGATCATATCCAGTAAACTAACCGAGTCCTCTTTCCAGACGGCTACACAAGAACTCTCATTGTGGACCGGCTGTCCGGCTACTTGGACTTCCTGCCCAAAGCCAATTTGTACTTTCATCAGGGCCTTAGCCAGGGAATCGATGTTATGTACGTTGACGAAGGACTTCTGGATGGAACGCAGTTAAATGAGAATCTCTACGCCCTCGCTCACCTGATAAGACCGAAACACATCTATGGACTGAGGCAGAAGGAGTTACCCAAGTGGCTGCTTGATCTCCGCCGCCAGAAATGTCCCTTCTAGCCGATTCAGTAAAAGTCGAGCGTTTTGTAGAAAATTATGCATTTAAAACGAAGACCTGGTAACAGTCAAAAATAAAATCTACCTAAGACCCACGAACTCTGATTCCTAGCACCAAACACTATCCCTTCGTCGCCTTGGCCTTGCTTTTCACCTTCTTCACGCGCTTCAGGCCATCCATTTTGCTCTTCATGAATTGTGAGTACATGCCCATCATTGTGGGCACATCCTCCTGGCGGACGACAGTGGAAATCTGGCGAAAGAAGCATTGGTATATAGTAAATGGGATTTGCAGGTGGAGCCTGGGCGGCGTTACCTTTTGCGACTTGGACTGGGCTCGTATCAGGCACATGTATGTAGCTGGCTTGGGCAGTGGCGGTCTACCGGCACGGGGCACGGGCTTGTCGTGGCCATCATCTAAAAACACATAGTATTGTTATTGTTGTTGTTTTGCGCAGACACGATGCCTTAATGGGAGCCCTACTCACAGCGTTTGAAAGTTAGCGTAAAGGAAGAGTCCTTCTTCGCCGCATTGGCGATCTTCTCCAGGCGCAGGATAAACTGCAAGAGAACCGGTTAATTAGCTATTTAAATAAGTCGTTTTTGAAATATTTACGTTCGAGTTATCCAGCAAAACCATTTTCGTGGCAAAAAAAAAAAAGTTGATGAAAAACGTCAATTATTGTTGATATTTTTTGATACTTTGTTTCTGGTCACTCTCAATTCCAGAGCTGTTGCTTAACATTCGACATCTTTAATGTCAAGATAACAATTCTACACGTTTACAGATACATGGGGTCGAATTTTGGTCGGTTCGGGGTCATGTAAATGTAAAATTCATAACATATCTGCTATATAAAATATCAATCTATTTATATATATAATTGGGAAGAAAGTATTTTGATTTGGGCTGTTGAAAATATATCAAAATATCAATATATCGATATTTTAAGGTGATATTTTGTATCACTATTATTTTTTTTATAAAATCGAATCGATATTTTTCAAAATATCCGACAGTCGTCAATTACAAAACGGGAGAACTTTTTGCCATTTTATCTTCTTTCTGCCATATGTGCAAATGCAAAGCTTTTGAAGTTTGCAACTACCCGCAAATTCACCCCCAATTTATGTTATCACTCTCATTTTTTTTTTAAATAATAATAATAATGCATACATTATTATATATTTATATTTAACCTGTTTAACTTATTTTCCCACAGAATCTAGCTGTACGGCCAACACTTGGGCGAAGTGACATTGACAGTTGAGGCTGGATTTTTTAGGCCTTTTCTGGCGAGGCAACCAGGGCTGCCCAATAGTTTAAATTTTTTGAAGAAAACAAAGCGGAACCAATTTGTGTAATACATTTGAAAATATAAACCTCCAACTACAAACAAGGTTCGCTTTTAATTAATATTTGCCATGGCAACCTCTTAAACAAAACCCCTTTGTTTTCCATATCGATAACACAGTCGGACCGAGTTGGCAGCTCCACCAAATGATTGGTTGAGAAAGCAGAAAAGGCGAGAAAAAATCGTAAAACTACGAAAACCTACAAGTGCGGGCAACCGAGGAAGCTGTTGCACCCACGCCGACCACTATCCGCGCCCTCCGAACAACCGCGTCCGCGTCCGCCGCCACCACGAGAGCAGCGACCAGCAGCATCAGCCCGAAATCGACAGCAGCGGTGGTGCAAGCGAAGAGGAAAAATTCCAGCCGCTCGAAATCCGCGCCAGCCAAAGGAAGCGCCGCCCACGCCGTCATCAGCACCAGCGTGTGAATTAACCCTACTCAGCCCCTGGCTCGCAACCACATCTATCCAGTGCTCGACGCAGCTCCAGTCAGCGCCACAAACTCGACAACATGGTGAGCAATTTGCGTTGCTCCAAGCCGGTCACCTCTGTGATCAGGCCAGGCTGAAAACAACCCATTGTTGTCGTTGGAAGAGCATTCCGGCCAGTGGAAAGCTAAGCCACCGCCAGGAAGTGTTCAGTGTTTCAGCGTAACACACTCACCAGCTAGCACTGAACTTTGACCGAAACGAAACGCTCACTCACACGCACTTTTCCCCCTCCCTATCTCCCTTCCAGGACGTATTCCTTATGATCAGGCGGCAGAAGACCACCATCTTCACGGACGCCAAGGAGAACACAACGGTGGCCGAACTGAAGCGAATGATTGAAGGTGAGTGCGGTGAGCCGGCGGTCAGCCAGACGGTGGCTGAGTGTGCGTGTTCCCCTATTTATAGATTGGCAATATTGAGTAATTCCATGATTGGCTTACTCCCGCAGGCATACTGAAGGTGCAGCCTGTGGACCAGCGGTTATACAATCAGGACAACGATGTTATGGACGACGACAGCACGTTGCAGGACTACGGCGTGACGGTGTCCACGGCCAAGGCGCAGTCTCCGGCGCAGCTGGGCTTGACATTCAGGTGAGCGAGCGGTTGTTGTTGCTGCTACTCTGAGACTAGCTGATAAGCAGCTAGAGCTGCGCGGGTTATCTAGCGGACGCAGCTCGCAGCCCGCACGTGTCCCGCTCAATGGGTTGCGGCCAGATGCTAACTGGACGCATGATCCTAATGACCTTTCCTTGCCTTGCAGAAACGAAGTGGGCGATTTTGAGACACTGGACATGTCACCATACTCGGCACCACCAGACTTACCTGAAGTGATGAAAAACCAAGAGGCCTCGAACGGACAGGAGCAAGTTGCATAAGGGAGCAGTCAAGAGTCAGTCAGTCAATCACCCCTACGAAAACAATAAACAGCAGCAACCACATCATCAAAAGCAGCAGCAGAAGCAGCCGCATCAACTAAGCCGCAAGAAGTGTGTGGCGAAACGAGACAAACTAAATCCGCTAAATATCCAGAGACTCAATCCTACTGTCGCTCGCTTTTGTCCCCCGCAAACGAAAATTTAATGAAATGAATGAAACGCCGAACGGAAGGGCGAGATCCGCACTCAAATTGGGCTGCGATATCCACAAGTCCGTCTGGTCAGAACGCAAAACAGCAACAACTGCAGCCGCAATAGCTAAATATGCATTTTTTCGTTGTTTATAGCAAGGAACAATTTACTATGATTCTAACACAACAAAATTGTACTTTGGAATGGGATCTATAATATTCGGCTTTAACTTTACCCCCACTCTTGTTTGTTTCTTTTTTATGGAATTTATACGAATTTGTTGAAAAATACACAGTCATAAAAACAAAGTAATGTGCGAAATACGACACATCGTGCAGAAATTTCAATCCCCGACACCCGAAACCCCATGCCCACAACCGGATTCTCCCATCCCTCGGCACGATCCTTCGTAAGCAGAGTGAAATATGGTGAATGTTTAATGAATATTGGGATCTAATTATATTATAATTTATAATCAAATCATTATTTTTGTAATAAGATTTAATTATTATTAAAAACAAACAAAGAAACCCCCCGCCATCAAGCTAATCACTCTCATCCAGATCTGCAGTCATGGCAGCCACCTCCGCGTCGTTGGCATCACTGCCGCTGCCCTCCTCGTCGTCCTCAGCCGTCGTGCCTTCAATAAACGAGGCGTTGCCGCTCTGCTGCAGCTCCTGGTGCTCGAGGTACTCCTGCAATCGGTCCTGGAAAAAGTTAATGAACGTCTGCTTCTGCTGCGCCGTGGCAGGGAAGTAGTGGCCGCCACTGTGCTCCAGGACCTCGACGTTCTTAAACTGAGCGGCCAGCGATTCGCTCATCTGCTTGGGTATAATCTCATCCGTTTGGCCGTAGATGTGGAGCGTGGGTATGCTGATGGGCTCTTCGTAGGCACTCATGTGCACCAAACTGCCGGAGAGGAAGCCTGAGGCGAGCACAGCAAACTCGGGTCGGATGGAGGTTACTATGAGGGACAGGAGAGTGGGATGAGCTTCTTAGTTTTTACTTTTAATCTTCACTTACACTTCTTTTTGGCCAGTCCGCATATGAGACCCACGAAGCAGGCACCTTGCGAGAAACCCAACAGTCCCTGAAACGGGCCCTGCGTCTTCCACGCCTCCTCCACGCATCGCAGGCTCTCCTGAAAGCCAAAAGCCGGGCCGCCTCGGTTGGTGCCCTTGAAGGTGCCGTCATCCTTGTTGGCCCACCAGCTGCGCTGTTCCGGCACAGGCTCTGCCGCCGATTCCAGTGCTGCGGCCACGTGCGGCGCGGAAATGAAGACGAACTCGGCATACTTGGAGGCAAACTTGCGGAAGGAGCCGAGCTTGTTTTTGAATGCATCTCCGTTCTGGCGATAGCCATGCAGGCAGAGCACGCGCACCTTTTCGGTTATCTCCAGCTTTGGTTGCTGCTTGCTTCCGCCGGCGCGACTCGAGCCAGCAGCTTCGGCCGCTGCATCGTTGTTGGTCATCTTAGAGGCGGGTTTTATCTCAGGTTTTATCTATTTAAAAAATTATTAAAAAACAAAAGGAAAGGGTGCTGAAGTGTGACCGACCGTTAAAATTTAAAGAGGTAAAAATACCAAACTGTAGCGCGAAACTTGTAGGCCGCCAAGTCCGTTTATAAACATGTATGTGGTAGTTAATATATTTAATTTTTTAATATATTATGAATTCATAGAATTATTCAATTTGTATTTACTTATTTGTCTAGCCTTCCAAAAAATGTCAAAGTATATATGCAAGTTGGCAGCACCTTAATAAATAAACGAAACAGGTGGCAACCCTCAGCCAGAAAAGCCGCATTTTTTACGTAAAACTTATTTTTGGTAAATGCAACAAGTTTTCTAAGCTTTTCCCTTCGACAATACCTGCTATTGGACCAGTATCTTTCACGGATCAGCAGGAGCACCAGCCAGAGAATGATCTACACCACAACACTACTGTCCGCGCGCGGCAGCCTCTTCGGTTCGCTGATGAGCAAAGTCAGGCAAGTTGTAGCCAAGGAGCAGGCCTCCGGCTCCGCTCCTCCTCCACCCAATGACACCGACAACAGACCACTCACACCCAACAGGCCTTTGGCAGCCGCCGGCATCAGCCACAGTCCGGCGGTGCAGTCGAAAACGCTGGAGGAGCAGGTGGGCCTGCCGCCGAGGCCCAAGAAGCCGCTGACCCCCTACTTCCGCTTCATGCGCGAGCAGCGTCCCAAGCTGGTGGCCGCCAATCCGAAGATCACCACCATTGAGGTAGTGCGCCAGCTGTCCAAGAGCTGGTCGGATGCGGACGCTAAGCTGAAGGATCGCCTGCAGGCCGAGTACAAGAAGGACCAGGAAATCTACATAGATCAACGCACCAAGTACGATGCCAGGCTGACGGACGATCAGCGGGCGGAGATCAAGCAGCTCAAGCAGGACCTTGTCGATGCCAAGGAGCGCCGGCAACTGCGCAAGCGAGTCAAGGAGCTGGGTCGACCGAAGAAGCCTGCCTCCGCCTTCCTACGCTTCATTGCCAGCGAGCGCACTAACTCACCGCAGGACCCCAAGCAGACTTACCGCGACTGGCACCAGAAGACGACGGCCAAGTGGTCGCGTTTCACCGACTCCGAGAAGGAATCCTACATGCAGGAGTCGCGCAAGGAGTTGGAGATCTACAGGTGCGTAGATATTATTACGAAATGGCTGCGTACAATGAATATCGGCCCTAATTTGTGAAATTTCTTTAAGAATAAGCAAAGTTTTCTAGCGAAAGAAGATAACCTTAGCCGTACTTTTAACAAGTTTTGTTAAACAAGAATGTCTTAACATTCCTCCGCTTATATTTCCCAATTTAAATTCTTTTTTTTTTTTACTATACCAAAAGAAACTATGTTTCTTAATTGTTATTAATCTTTTCCTTGCAGAAAAGCAATTTCCGTCTGGGAGGAAAAGATGATACGCCTAGGCCACATCGACGTTGTGCGTCATGGCAATCTAATCGATCCGCCAGAGCCCAAGAGCCGCAAGTCGCATGTTGCCAAAGAGAAATAGGGCTATGTAGCTGCTTGGCACCAGCCCTCCGCCATCACATACATATAATTCATACTTCATTTTGTTTTTTTCCGTTTCCCTCGCTCTCATCGCAAATTTGTTAAGGTTAGGCATTATAGAATAAATGCTCGCCCGCTTAAGTACAACTTATATTTCTCTGTTCCTGCTGCTAAGTATACCAAGAGTAACTTTAGTCACATTCTGGACTATGTAAATAGCTTCAGCATTAAATATAAAGACAGTTTTCAATTTTTACAAAGCCATGTGCATATTTTCAACTAATTGAAAGGGGATTTCTTATGTAAAACCTTAAACTAACCCAAATTATTGAAGTATTTTTGCCCTTTGCCAACACGCTGCGTATAGAGCAGGCACGTGGCATCGGTACTTTCTAAGTTTCTAAGCGAGCTGACCAAAGAATGGTTTCTTTGGACAAACACGTGTCTGAGTCTTACGGGGTTAATATCACACTTGATTTCTAGTTGATTTAACACGGTAATCGAAACAGTTTTAATCTCTCTGCGTAGATCACGGTAAACAAATATGCGGTAAATTTGTCACCTCAAATGCGCAGATTATAAAAGGCTATATAGGAGCTATAATTGGTACAGTCAGCTTTCGACTGGAACTAAAGTGAGGGTTAAGCTGCGGAGCGGGCACAACCGCTCGGTTTTAGGTTCAGTTTCCAAATGAACGCACCGCTCCGAGGCCGGATCCGTCTGGCCGCCTGGCTGAATGATATTTCCGCTGCCTTGGTCAGCGCTCTCCCTCTCTATATCTCTCTGAATTATTGCTGACTTCGGGGAATTCGGCGATAACCGTTCGAGTTTTTAATCAGGGGCGGAATATGGTCATAGAGCCACAATTTTGGGGTATTTTGGGTCTAATTGGTTATGGAGATAAGAATTTCTAAGTGGAAAAATTCGTTTTCTTTAAATATAACAAATTCTCAACTTTTACAAGAAACAATAATTCAAAAATCAACCTTTTTTAAAAAACTAATAGAAGATATGATTATTTTTTCAGTTTTTTTGATAAATGCAGCAGAAGCCAACTAAACATTTTTTATTGTAACTTTTGTACCTTATTCCGCACCTGTATTTTTCAGGCCCGGTCTTGCTCCCGCTTAGCTGAATTTTGAAACATTTTCGGCTCTCCGGAGAACGCTCAAGTTATCTCAGGTAGCCGGCGGGAGAGAGTCTCTCCTCTGCCTTCCAGTAAACCCCTCATGCAGCTCAACAGGTAGGCATCACATTTATGTATGTATATCTGTACATATGTCTTGAGATTTCCATAGTTTTCGTCATGCCGCCTGGGTTTTCTGCTCTAAACTACTGAAAATGTTTTCACCTAATTTTCGTGGCAGCAATAGAGCTTTGCTCCAAACTTTATTGGCCTGGCATTGGCCAGAGCACTTCGAAACGCCAACGACCGCCACATTCTTGGGCAAGAATCCGAGTTACCTCCGTGCTTCTGGCCAAAACACCACGTTCGGGCCGCCAGCAGCGGAATTGCGCAAGCCATTTTGGCGCAACCTTGGGCTACTGCTAGCAACTGCTACTCCGAAATCCGAAAACCAACCACTGCACACGCACACGAGTGTATTTTTTTGCAATAGAAACAAATAGCGAAAACAAAACGAATGAATTCCAAACACAACTCCTAATACGCCTCTTAGCCTGGCTAATAAAATGTGCACAAAATTCGGCATTTCGAATGACAAAAATGCATTAGACAGTCAATAGAGGCAGTTGGGAGACGGCTTGGGCACGATTAAGGCCTTTAAGTCGTCTATTGATTTGTTGTTTCCCAGGTTTCTGATTTAGCTCCTAAGTGCAGTGGAGATTCTATAGGTCGAACCATATCTTAATGGCTTATTATTACAGAAATTTTGATTTCACCCGAATATATTGGAACATATTAGTTTAATTTTTAAAAAGTGGCTTTTTATGAATACTCGGCATATAACTAAGTTTAATTTTTCAAAACCCAGAATGAGTATATGTATATAAATATATGAATCTAAATCTTAAAGCCTTGTATGATTAAAAAACAGACACAACTTGTTTATAAACTATTTTGATACCCTTAAATGGTATTTTTATTTTAGTCAGAAGCTTGTTACGCTGAGAAGGAGTCATTTCCGACCCTATAAATCATATATATTCTTGATCAGCATCAAAAGCAGATTCGATCTAGCCATGCCTGATCAAAATATAAATTTGTTAAATTTTTTCAAAATCTCAAATTTTTATAAGGGGTTACATCATTAAAATTGTCAAAAATTGGCAAAAATTTACATTTCTTAAAATGTTTAAATATGTATGCAGATTAATTAACCTTATGAAAACTAACAAAGGAAAGCTTTCCGAATTAAAATTAATGGGTTTTTGGCTTAGTTATAAGATTTTTAAACATTGATTTGTCGAAAAAATGATCGTATAAAAACCTCGTTTAATATTAATTAAAAAAACTCGAAAATTTTAAGGTTAGCTATGATCGGTTTCCGATTCCATCCCATAATTCCATTGGAAACTGCACGGGTTTATATACTTCTGCTTTCAGAAGTTATTTTCCTTTCTTGTTTTTAAATAAATCTAGTCTATTCCATCTGGGATTGGTTTAAATAACAAATATATTCCGCAATAAAATCTACTCCCAATAAAATTAACTCTTCAAGAAGTTTCCCAGTTTGGAGGCCATTTAGAAAGGCCACAAAAATTAAATTCAGTTCCAAATCCATCTAAAATATGTTGGTCTCCGTGTTGTTGTGCGCCCGTAAGATTCTCCATTCCAAGGGGAGGCAGCCAGGTGGAACCATTTATTAAGTGGTACATGTACCCGAGCGTGTATTGTCTCTAGTTGCTGTCTAATACTTGTTTTATTTTTTGACTTCGGGTTCGCCGCCGCTGCTCAGGTGAGCCCAATTTCAATGCACTCGACTCGGACCTCCGTCTCCTCCTTCTCCTCTCCCTACCCTGGTGCCCAGCTAAGCGGCTGCGAGTGGAGGCCAACTGCTTTTCGGCGGCGTTGCGCCACAGAAGTTGAAATTTCGGTTAATATTTTCAGTTACGTATGTATTTATTCAACGAATTTGGTTCTTTTTGCAAGAGTCGTAAGAGATGATACATTACACATACTGGATATTTTTCGATCTTGCCGGGCGCGACAACATAAACCTAACACTTAGTTGCTAGACGAATATTTACATATATGGTATAGGTAAAGATAATACGATTACAAATACGATGCACAAGCTCAGAGTTCTCGACAATAATTTAATACAATGTGGGTAATGTGAATGCGAAACAGGAAACGGGAAACGAAAGGATTCGATTGCGAACAGGGAGAACTCTCCAGCTCCAGTGTGTGATGTGTGTGGGGATAAAATACATAGGTTGCTTCAGGGATTCCTTACTTCCATTCAACCGGATCCGGGTCCGGTTGATAACAGTGATTTGTCTAAAATCGCTACAAAGTCTCACCGAAATTCCCTAACTGCTCGAGCATAAAATTAGCTACAAAAAACAAAACAAAGTACACAAGAATCACGACGAAGCACAGGATAAAGCCATTCCAGATAAAGCTTCAACTAGCCACGCTGCTTACTGCTTCCGCTTCCGCTGCCGCTGCCGCTGCCATTGCTGGTGCTGCTGCTGTTGCTGTGACTTTCCTCCGATGGTGGACGCACCCAGCCGCCGTAGCGTCGCTCCATTTCACGTGCCACTGCCAGGCAGAGATGATCTTGGCCGGGATTGGCCACCACCTGAATACCCATGGGCAGGTTGCGCCTGTCCAGGCCGATCATGCAATTGGTCACCGGGAGGCCCAGCGTATTGAAGATGGCCATGTACATGGGCTCGAGGAGCTTGTGATAGATCTGGTAGTGCTGGTGCGCCGTGTTGGGAAAGGTCGGGTAGAGGAAGACGCCGTCGTTGCCCAGCATCTCCTTGAATTCAGTCTTGAGCGCCTCGATTATGCTGGCCAGGTGCTTGTGGCGCGAGTTCGGTATGATCTTCATGAAGTTCTGCAGGTGGCCAAAGATCACCGACGGCAGGATGCTGTCCGAGCAGCCGAAGAAGTACTTGACCGTCTCCTTGCACACGGTCTTTGGCTGTTCGCCCTCCTCCGTCTTATGGTAGATGGTCTCGATATTCTTCATGGTCAGCATTGCGGACAGCGAAATGTCCAGCGACCACTTCATCTTGCGGATGTTCACCCGCTTGGCGTTGAAGTCGCTTGCCACCCGATTGATGGCCGCATGCAGATCTCTGCTGAGTGGCCTCATCATACCCGATGGCCCGTCGTTGTCCATGAAAAAGAACCGGATGCCATTAACACTGATCGCTCTATCCAGCGTCAGCTTGGGACCCGTCGGATCGCTCATACACTTGAGCAGCAGCGGCAAATCCTTGGCGTAACGCGTCATCGGGGCGATGGTGAAGAAGTCGCCCCACTTCGGGAAGTCACTCGTCGGGTGATGGCCCCGGAAGGAGACCGCGTACGGCGTGGGCTTGTGACCCCAAATGCCGCTAAACATGGCGGGCAGGCGGGAGGAGCCGCCAATGTCAGAGGTGAGGCCCAGCAGCGAGGCACCGCTGGCCAGGAGCGCCGCCTCACCGCCGGATGACCCGCCGGGCGTGCGCTTCAGGTCATACGGATTCTTTGTCTGACCCGTTACATTGTTGTACGTCTCCCAGAGCAGGCACAGCTCCGGTGTGTTGGACACCAGTAGGATGATGCCGCCGCTGCGCTTGATTTGCTCCACCACCGGTGCATCCGACTTGGCTATTTGCGGCGTCTTAAAGACGCGGCCCGCCTGATTGGTCATCCCCTTGACGGCGATGCTCTCCTTGACAGTGACCGGTATGCCCAATAAGGGAGTGTGCTCCTCCATGGACTCTACACTGTTGATGCCCATGGCTATCACGTTATCTATTTCTCGTGCCTCCTCCAGAGCCTCCTCGAAGCGATCCTGAACAATGGCATTGATCAGGGGATTTACCTGTGAGAATGACAATACGAATATGTCTTAGTTTAGATAAGTTTTTATTTTAAATTTGATATTAAAAAGGTTAAAGGAAAGTGCAACAACTATAGATTAGTTTTGTTCTTTTGTGAAAGTTCTAAATTGGTTTTATGTATTTAAACTCACCTGTCGACATCGCTCGATATACGCTTCCACAACTTCTTCGCTTTTAATCTGCAAATAGAAAGCCAAGAAGAATGTTTCGATTATTTCCGCAATTTCCACGGCATTCCGCCCAGAGCTCACATTCCACCCCGATTCCCAGGGCCCAAGGCAAGCAATTCTCATCTATTGAGACGCGGGACAGTGCCAGTGCCAGTGCCACAGAGGCAGAGGCAATTTATGTTAAATTAAAATCAATAAAAAGACAAAGCCAACAGCGGTCAGCTTGCATTCGTGACGCGTGCACTTTTTCGATCAGTGATCAACGATCAACGATCAGCGGCCCCATGTCGTATGAGTAATGTCCAAACGATAAATATAGATGTATATGCATAGGGGTAAAGAATCAACTATTTAGAGTTCAGGGGAAAATAAAGAGACATTCCTAAAGTCAAGTGTCTTGAATCGATAAGGATATATCAATCAAAGTGTCTTCTATGGGAGTTCCGCATTGATGCTGGAATAATGCAGTTCTTAATGAATTGAGACTTCAAGAAAAGTTGTTTAACAATTAAATTAATGAAAATAAAACGCTTAAGGCACTAATGTGGAAATTATGGTAGGTAATAAAAAAATAATTGAATTAACTTATGATTAAAACGTGAATGAAGCAGATTAATGAGGTGGAAATCGAGTCACCTTTTAATGAATAAAAGTAAGAAAATAAAACCTAAAGATTTATTGTGAAATTTTATATATGCGATTAAAATAGGAAGCAAATCCCCTAACGATCCCAACAATAGCTAATCCATAGATCCAATCACGTAATCCATTAAATTTCCTCAACAAGCAGAGAATACCTCTAAAGGAACATTAATAAAGTATAGAAAGCTTTACTTAAAAGGATGATTTATCATAATAATAAATTCATCAATAGATCAAAGCACGTGTGTGTTGATCGTTGGATTTCTGAGAACTGAACTGAACTCATCAATAATAATAATTTGAAATGCAGTGTCAGAATTAGCTCTCTCGTAGATGATATTATATGATATATTAATCACATTTCCAGTCACAGCCGCGATAATTAGTTAATTGATAGTGGGAACCACATATCAATCAAAACAGAGTCTAAAGCTGAGCATTCAGGCCTTTGCTAAGCTATCAATCAATGGGATTTCATGGCATAACCACTTTTTTTTCGTAACCAATTCAGACCACAAAGCTGCAGTCTAACCTCTGAACTTGAGCTCTCTCAAGATCTCCCAGTTAATACGGGTAATCCGAGGCAGAAGGCCTTCAATGTCGAGTGCTGCCTGAATTGAGCCACAAATTGCCTTACTTTGCCTTTAAGCACAGGCGAATGCAACTCACAAATGATGCACCAGCTCGAGTCTACATACATATATGTAAGTAAGTATAATTAAAATTAAGGCTACTTGACTTTTTCAATGACTTCCAGTGTAATAATAAATCAGAGGCAGACGGAGAACAGGTAAACACAGTGTAAGGCAACATGCAACAAGGGTTTCGCGGGGGCAGCAGAAGGGTTCAGAGCGAAATCAACGACCGAAAAGCTTACAACTTGCGTCTCCGATACCGATACCATCCCAGCCAGCGATCGATGTTTGCCAAGTGGAAAAGATCTTGGCAAGTGTATGTGTTTGGATGTTGTGGCACCACTATATGGCATAAAGAAATCGCGACACACAGACACAGTTTCGCCGATGCTACTATATACATATGTAGATACTATATGCTTGGTTAATGTGCGGTGTATGGTGTATACTGAAGTACGTGCTAAAAAGACTCGAGCTCTCAAAGCAAAAGCAAAACAAACCGACAAAAATGAAAACACGAATTGTGCGATTCAAGTACGAACAAATTTCATATGGGCAGCAGCCAGAGTTTACCTAGTCCCCCGGTCTTTGAACCACCGAGCTGCCCACTCTGAGACAAAGACTTAATAAATCCAATTTAGAGACAGGACCAATTAGCCCAGCGCGATGCCACTTTCTTGAGCTCACAACTAGTGATTATCTTTTAGTATCGAGTATATCCATACACTGGTTCTGATATAATGCCAATTACAAAATCATTACGCTTAGCTTGGCTTGGCTCGAAGTGAGGCAATGCTGCTTAACCTATGACAATGAAACAAGCCAGCAATTAAGCTGAATAAAAAAAACACTTATAAAAAAGGCACAATTAAAATAATAATATTTAGCAGTCATACGCACCATATATGACGCTTGCCGAAAGCAGACAAAAGCCATAAAAAGGCCACAAAAAATATTTTAAAAATAATAACGTGCAGTTAAAAATTCAAAGTTTAAGCGAGCCAAGTGCATGCAGCAAATGCGTTAAAACCCACCTGAAGGGTGACCCGATAAGGTCTACCAAGTGGTGACCTCACACCGAAATCTTGCACATCTTGGAGTTACACATAAACCCAGAGTTACAGCCATGTTTAATGGATGGGAATCTCTTGGGATATGGATACGCTCTGGATGATAAAGCTCCGATAAACAGACAAGACCCCAGTCTAGGCCTTGTGTTTGTGTGTGAATAATGTATATATTTTGAGTTATGGTTTGCGAAATTTCTGCTCACATCATAAAAAAGTGCTTGGTTAATACTTTTTAGATGACTAACCCGCGCTGTCTGGCTGGTTTCTTCAATGCCTCGCGTCTATATATCCCTCCTTTGTGGGCCAATTGCCGACTCAAGTGCCTCCCCGCCTTGCGACGTAAACAAAGTAGAAAAGGCGAAAAAAAAACCCAAATTGATTTCGATTTCATCTAAGGGTCATATAATGCCATGTTATGTTTTCTGAAGTGACGCATTAAAAACAGGATTAGGCTTTAAAATCTGTTGTTGAAGTTTTTTTGCTAATTTCACAAGAGGAATTTTTTCAAGCAGTTTTGCAAGTTTTAATTGATTGGACAAGGAAAAAATAAACAAAGAGGAATGATTGGACACTTTTCGGTGGTTTGTTTACTAACATATAGATTTTATAAAGTCTTTAACTTGAGATAATTCGTTGTATTCCATATTATCATATGTGACCTTTTAATCACACAAAACAGTACTTCTACGTTAATTTACTCTGTAATATTTATAAAAATTTATGTTTAACTTTAATTTTAGACATGTTAATGAATATTATCTTGTAATTTATTGAAACCTTCAAGCAATCCTAAACTAAAAATTAGTTATGGTTCTTTACTTTAGCTTAAAGCAATTTAATACGTTCGTAAGAGCCAGTTAACCCTTTGCCGACTGACCTTAACCTTTACTCCTCGAACATTTTTATTGCTTAGTTTTGTCTAATTGAAATGTAAGGGGCCATTGCCCGAAATACAGCGTAAAATGAAAACTAATGTCATTGTCTGGAGGCGGAGGTTTCACACTTTCCCGAGGAGTCCCGGTGCTGAAGCTGATTGCCACAGAGTGCCTCTAAGAAATGTGGCAACAATCATGGCTTTGGAGCCAAACAGTCAGTCTCTCTATATCTATTGATTTGGCAAGATTTCGGCCAGGCCGTATCTTTTGCGTAAGTGACCCAATTTTGTGTGTACGTTTTTTTTGGTGGGGGAATGGGAGCTGGGAATAAATGCAGGCAGGTTTACTCACCTTTCTCGTGCGAATCAGCTTGGCCAGGTCGACGGCGGGAATCTCGAGCAAGTGACTCCGGATGGGCGGCAGCTTGCGCCGTATCACCTTGATGTTGGTGTAGCGGCTATAGGGGACAACGAACCAGCTGAAGACAATCATGGCCGAGCGCAGGAAGCGGCGCATGATGTACCCCAGGATCCTGGAACAGAGTAGCACAGCAATTTTGACGGCTTTCGGTTGACGCGGGCGGGAAGGAAACTATTAAGATATCTGCGTATCTTGCAGATACGCCCCACAACACCACACACACGGCACTAAGCGACGATGGTAGACACTGCACTCAGCACTCGGCACACAGCACAGCACAGCACAGCAGCCAACAGGTTGCCAGGATTGTGCAATCCGCAATCCACAGTCCGCAGTTCGCAATCCGCAGCAGCAGCAGCAGCAGCGGCGACTGCAGCGACTTTTCGCTTGCACAATTCAGCAATGGAGCAGCACGGTGCTCGGCTCGGCCCGCGGCGAGATGCTTTTGGTCAGAGATTGTTGGCTAATAGTAGTAGCAGTAGCAATGGCTTTCTTGGCTGCATTGGCCACCTCCAGACGGACGATGGCTAATAGAGGGCAGGCGTGTCAGCGGCGGGATGGACAACGACGGGCACTCGCGGAGAACTTGGGTTGGGGCGCTGCCGACGCATGCGCAGCCTGTGGCCGGCTTTCATTTTGTTGCACTCCACAAGCTGGCCTTATCACACACGCTCACCGAGTGGCTGAATTTGGGATAGCAATCGGTTTCGAATCGGTAGCTCTAGCTGTATCTGTATCTGTATCTGTATCTCTGTATCTGACGGATCTGCGAACCGAAGCGAACGAGTCGAGCTGAGTAAATAAACGCTCGAGCAGTTTGCCACTGAGTATTTAAAGCACAGCTCTCTCTTTGCCGATCTCTCGAAGCTCACTTCCAAGCTTTGCTCTCCAACTATCGTTCTCTTTTTAGCTCTCTTAAGCCGCTGCTGTGATTCCCAGTGTTGGGCCAAAGGAAATGGATTAAGTGCGTCACAGACCCAGTAACAATTAATAAGCCTGAACTCTTGATCTCCCCATAATTGCCATTAAAATTGCATCTAGATGTGACTTGCGCCTTGTTTACTAGCCTTACTAACAAAGGGAGGAGGACCTCCGGGCATTAATTACACAAATCGGTGAACGTCAGTGGGCTATGGGTTCACATCGGGCACTTGCAATTTTGAATGTATGCTGACTCGTGTTCCAGCTTAACCTGAGATCATCATCCATCGCCGCCCCAAACTGCAGCGTCATTCGGAAAACAAACATTGACTTGCGAATGCCCCACACGAGGCGGGGTTTCCGGGGGAAAACCCAGAGCTTGAAAAACATTTACAAGGAACTAAGCAGAACCTTGAACCCATTGTAATGACTTGGTAACAGGTTAGTTAGCATAAATACACAGAAAGAAACAAAATCAAAGAACTGTCTAAATATGGTCTATTCTCTCATAATGTTATAACTAGAACTGGTTTTATTCCTAGATAATATTTATAAGTAATATTGAAATAGTTTTCTATAAAGTATTTAACTTTAGAAAAAGGGTTCCCATTGGCCTAGTTAATATTTAGATATAAAAAAACCAATTTTGTTTTAATTTAGTCACGTTCTCTTTGTAAACACAAAGAAAATATGGAAGGAAATATTTTCTTATTAACTATGTAGAGGAACATGATTTTAACATTTTAATTTTCATTAATATGTCAGGGAAGTCCTTTTCCTTCAGCAATTCTTTACAGAATCTGTTCATAATAACTTGTAAAGTAGGGAATTAAATTTCCTCAACTACTTATTATAATCTCAACTATTTAATTTAAAAAATACTAATATATATTTCCCCTACAAGGTAACGCACTTTTTACTACAAATTTCAAACCCTTAGTAATGTAAATATCATTAAAGCAAACATATAATAAATATTCGCTGTTAATTTAAATAAATTCAATTTTCTCTGCATTCATTTTAATTGAGGAATCAGTAGATAGTTAGTACAGATGCCACAATTAAAATCACTAATGTTGGCATTTACAGATCATGCCAAGTTGGCAGTATGGCATGATCACTGATCCGTCTGACACTTATAGTGAGCATTCAGGCGTTGGTTATCCAGTTTCGACACTAAAATTGCTTTTTAATTGTGTTTTGCTGGTCATTAGGGTATCATTGCCCCACATTAGGCACCAGATCTCTTTGCTGGTCAATTTTCCAAGACAGGCGAATTGCGCGTCTTGTTTTGTATTGTTAGAATTAATAAGTGCCTTTCAGCTGCCTCTTAGCCGGGATCGTTTAGGTGACCAAAACGACCAGTTCGAGATCACGCAATCCCTGCTGCCAAGCCGGGTGATATAATCGGGGCACAGAGAACAAAACAAAGAGGCATAATAATGTCTTTAATGACACGACATCGCGGATTATTAACCCCAGAACTTGCTTGTCTGGCAATTCCCCTTACGAATCTGAAAGGATTCGGAGGAAACTCCCCAAGGTGAGTTCAGGAAAAGCAATATTGTGTATTTTTTGTTTGTTTTTTTTTTTGGGAGAATGGAGACTTGTTTACCAGTTAAAAGATAGTCAAAAGCTCTCACTCTTCTTTAAGAGTCTTTAAGAGAACTGCCTAAGAGATAAGACCGTAAGCTTCGGACTACTTTTGGATGAAGCAGGGCCACTGTCAGTGACGATAAAAGTGCCCGCGGATCAAGTTGGGTCGCAAAACTTTCCACACCCCAGCAGTAGCACGCATAGATAGGCTGCCAGAGATAAGTTGACCCCATCTGGGAATAACAACAATAATAGCAACAATAACAAGCAAGCGAGAACACCACGGAGCACCATGTTGTCACAGCGTTTGCGGCTCGGCCGGGGTTTGGTTAATTACAGAGCTAGCTGCAGCCAGAGCTTGAGAAACTTTGCAGCCGCTGCTGGCGGTGATAATAACAACGAAAGCAGCAATGATAGCGTCGACGAGCGTCACCCGCTAAAGGGTATCCGGATTTTGGACCTCACGCGCATCATTGCCGGCCCCTACTGCACCATGGTGCTGGCGGATCTTGGGGCGGAGGTCATCAAGGTGGAGCGCCCGCACTATGGCGACGAGGCCCGCAAGTGGGGTCCACCCTTTCTGGAGCATAGCCAGGATGCAGCCTACTTTCTGGCGCCCAATCGGAACAAGCGAAGCGTTTGCATCGATCTCAAACGGGGCACAAAGATGCTACACAAGCTGGCCAAGATGAGCGATGTGCTGGTGGAAAACTATGTACCCGGCACTTTGGATCGTTACGGCTTGGGCTACGAGCAGCTGCGAAAGGTTAATCCCAAGTTGATTTATTGCTCTCTGACCGGATACGGCTCTGTGGGGCCATACGCCAAGCGACCGGGCTATGATGTGATAGCTTCATCCGTTGGCGGACTGCTGCACATCACAGGGGAGCGCGACGGACCACCCAGCAAGGTGGGAGTGGCCGTGACGGATATTACTACAGGACTCTACGCCCACGGGGCCATTCTGGCTGCTCTCTATCAGCGGACGCGAACACAGCGCGGTCAGAAGATCGATGTGGACCTGTTGTCCACATGCTGCTCGCTTCTTATCAATGTGGGAAGCAATTACTTGAACGCAGGAACCGAAGCCAAGCGATGGGGCACAGCCCACTCTAGCATCGTGCCGTATCAGGCCTTCAAAACAAAGGATGGTTATCTCACAATCGGCGCCGGCAGCGATGCTCAGTTCAAGGATCTGTGTCAACGCTTGCAGGTGGAACACTTGTCCGATGATCCGAAATTCAAGACCAACAAGGATCGTGTCCAGCATCGTGAGGAGATTGTTTCGATTTTGGAGAAGATCCTATCTAAGGACACTGCGCACAACTGGATGACAGCTTTCGAGGGCGCACCATTTCCCGTGGGACCAGTGAACAACATTCGCCAGGTGTTTGAGGACGAGCACATCCAAGCAATTGGTCTGGTCAAAACTTTGCCACACCCGAAAGATGACTCTGTAAAGGTTGTCGGTCCTCCAGTCGTCTTTAGCGAAGCTCGCAACGATGCCCGGACAGCTCCGCCAATGCGGGGACAGCACACGGATGAAGTACTGAGCGAACTATTGGGCTACGGCAAGGAGGAGCTAGCCAAGCTAAGGAAAGATGACATAATCGAGTGAGTCTTGCATTGATTCTTCCATGTGGAATATGTCTAGAGGTAAAGGTGAAGTATAGTATGTTGTTATGAATAATTCTAAGTTGTTTTGCCATTGAACATTTTGGAAAATCTAATATTCCTAATAAAACTATATTAAGTTTTAAGCATATTGTCAAACTAGAGATATCTGTAGCTCCTAAACAGTTGAGAATAGTAAACATTGTTGTTCCTGTCTCCACAAAGCCCTGAAATCGAGATGTGCTGTTCTAAAAGGCTGGCAGCGCTGTACATGTCGGTAAGCCGGAGTTATCCTTCCCAGAAAACTTCACGCATCCTGATCCTGACCTTCACCCCTACTCTGTGCGGGTCCAGTCCAACTACGAACACATGCCCTGGAGACAACGTACCCGTCGACAGAAGGTAATAATTGTGACCTTCCTCGCCCTGGTTCTGGTCGTTATGCTAAACGTGGTCGGCTGGGTGGCGTATTTTTGCGTGTATCTGAACGACAAGAAGTACAGACGCTCGCACGGAAGGACCATGGGCATCAACGCTTTGCTTACCTGAGCAACAGCTCCTCCAGGTGCAGCAGCAACAAGGTCAGTATCGATTTTAGCACTGGAGCCGGCGGAACAGCCGAGGACGAGGACGAGGAGGAAGGCAGGTGGTAAAATGATAAGAAAGGAACTGGCGAAACCAAAGAACTCACTTGTAAATGAACCAAAATATACGGATTTAAATGGAAATCAAATGGCACCTCTGCTGGTTCGAGGCGTCCGATCGACGAGAAGGTACATCTATAACTAAAACCGAACGGTGCGGCGTCCAGCTATTCTTGTCGGTGTCGCCGTCATTGTTGTAGTTGTCACTGCAAGTGCCGCCGAAAAGTAACAACAATGTCGGGGCGTCAACAATAGATTGCGGGACGTGTGTTTGCTTTTGTTGCTGTGTTGTGTGCGCCGTGTTTGTGTGCAAAGTGCATAGACCGCATCCGAATCTCTAGGTGATGCTCCTCGAGCCAGTCCCAGTCCCCGCCTCCGCCGCAGGTGTGGATTTCGCACTTAATGGTTTAAAATATGGGAATAAATAAGTTAGAAGGCGCAATGGCAGTCAATTAACAGTTAGTTACATGGGTGCAGTCATATCCAGCAAGGGGGAGCGTTGATATTTGGAACTCTGATAATCGATATTAAGAGTTTAATATTAGCTCATTTGACTAAAACTTTAAAACATAACTTAATTACCATTTTAATTGGTATTTTGCAAAAGAAAATATGTATTACTAGCAGACTTTTTGCATAAACTTGTCCTTTCCCTTTTCCTACGTCCATGTTCAACTACCCTGTCATTTTGGCAAGAAAGTGTGACCAGACTGTAAAAGTAAAGTTCTAAATTCCCAAACACGAATTATCGACAATTGAAATAATATTATTATTAAATTTAAATAAATAGTATATATTAAGCATACTTATCTTGATCACATTAAAGATTTATTATTATGAATGAATCTAGTGTAATGTTTGCTATACACTAATTCGATATTTTATTTAAAACAAAATCAACGCCATAGTTAATATACCCCAGGAATATTCTATTTTCCACGGTGTAATTGAACTATTCTTTCTGTCTCACCCTATACCACTAACCGCAACGAGGTAATGACAGATCCCTATCTTTCAAAGCCAACCGCAGTTGTAAGCTTAGACAAACGTTTCTGAGCCGTCTTAGATTCCCATTATTATTCCCAAAAAAAAAACGTGGACTTTGAACTAAGCTTCGAGAAGATAAAAACTTGATTTAAACAAACAGCCGTTTTTACGGCCCTGCCAACTTGGGCGATCTTGCTGGTAGTTTAGTATATACCGCAATACTGGCACTAGCTACACTTTCCCACTTTGGTCACACTACCAATGTTTTGATCGGCTGTTAAATAATAAACTTTTATAAATTAAACTTTTCCAAGATGCCCAAACAGCCCTCATTCGTGTCGCGCAACATCGTGGCCATCGTGATGATACCCAGTCTTGTGGGCATCCACCTGGGCTGGAGCTACATGCAGAACAACCGCAAACTGGTCACAGAAGCAGAACAGATCGACCTGCCGCCGGTTACGGTGCGTAAATGTTTTAATCCCCAAGCTGGAGGAGATCCTCTAACGCAGCATCCTCTTGCAGTTCGTAAAGTTCGCGTGGAACAAGCTGACGGGAGCTGAAACGAGTTCAAAGGGTGGCGGCAATCCGGCGGAATGACGACACAACTGAGGATGAGCTTAAGAAATACAATATATTTATTGTATAGATAAATTAAAACTACATGTTAACGGTATGGTACAATCAACTACTGGCCAAGCGGCAAATGCCGGCCAGATTTTGGGGGACGAGACACAGACAGATTAATATGATTATTACAGATACAGAAACTACACTTTGCACGCTACTTTACTAATGCTAGTTACAATTGAGATTACTGCGTGAGGGCCGAGTTCACGGTGAGGTTATCCAGCTGGGCATTGAACAGGACATCGCTGATCAGTTTCTCGGCTATGATCCGCTGCGTGGGATTGATGGTGCGCAGCTTGCTGGCCACATTCACGCCAATGGCGTCGTACTCGTCATCGTGTCGATGCGTTGTCGGCGCCGCCGTAGTGGTGTATGCGGTCGTGCTGGCATTGCCAAACAGTGGCTGGTAGTGATCGCGTCCTATTTGGATGGTGGGTACCGTTGCATGCCCGTTGGCCTGCTGCAGGTGCATTTGCTGCTGGTGCTGTTCCAGGGAGTTGACAGCCTGCATCGAAAGAGGGGTTATTAAGCAAAGAATTCTTGTTTCATCTGCGTCATTTCCACCTGTTGGATCTCGCGCTGGGAGTTTGAATCCAGTGATGTGATCTCCAGAACCTTGACGGCATGTCCCTGTGCTGCCGCCGCAGCTATGGAAGTCTGAGCTGCCGCATGTGCCACAAGCTGCTGGTGCGCCTGTGCTGCAGCCGCTGCCTCATGAGCCTGATGCTCCTCACTTTTGACCAGAGCCACGCACTCCGCGGGGGTCACCGATATGGTGCTGAGGGTGGTCCCTTGGCTGCTTACCACCACATTGCTGGCCGTGGCCGGGATCTCCTCCACCTCGTCTGAGGACGCGGGCACAATGCTCTCTATGTGCTGCGACTGAGTTGTTGTGTGATGTGATTCCTCCTCGTACTCCATGGACTCTTCGTCGTCGAAGCTGATCTGCAGCTCGCGCTTGGGCTTGCTGCCCAGCTCGTGTCGCTTGGGCTTGTGCTCGGCAATGAACAGCAACTTGTCGTAGTACCACAAACGGGTCTCGTAGTCGTTTTTGCTGCTCGTCTTGCGGAATTCGCGGCGAAAAGCGGAGCGTAGCGAGTTGATTTTCCTGCGCGGGAAAAACAGAGTTACCCTACAATGCAAGCGAATGTGGGCTACCTGGTGCATACCTAACAACCATCGCCCGGTCCGGATTTGGTTCCACCTCCTTGAGTTTCTCCACCAGTCGGTCGTAGGATTTGTTGCGCGCTGCGTGGTTGCTGTAGTCGTTGTGCTTCGGCTGCCACAGGCACTCCTCCTCCTGGTACTGCTCGATGAACTCGGTTAACCAGTGACGCGAGTACGATCGCAGGTCGACGTTCATGGTCATTTTCCCAGTTTTTGCTTTGATTCCCTCAATTTTCTGTTTTGTTTTCGGTGCGTCTCCCGTGAAGTTGGCTGCGGCAGCCCGCCAATTGCCAGATCGCTGAGCATTGCGGGGGTGGTAGCGGTTTTGTCGGTCTGGCCAACCAGTTACGTTGTCTTACGTTACCTTTAACGTCGTATTGCAGATCAATGGCAGAAACAGTAAATGAACAAAACAACAGAATCCATTAAGTTAATCACACAAGTATATTTCCCTTACATAAAAGTACAGTTTTTATTTTTTAGTTTTCGCGGTTTTATTACGTTTTTATCAAAGTTGTAAACCTTTTCATGTCGCTGTAAGCTAGCCAAATTTGGCGGGAAAAAAACAGCCTTGCACCCGACAGCCAACAAGGGAGAGAATTCTGTTAACTTACGTTCTTGCACTCTGTTAAAGAATTTTACTACATGAGAATTCTACATGTATATCTAAGATTTGAATTCAGAGTGACCAAAAGAAAATAACGAAAAATACAAAAAACAATATCTATAATTAGGTATTTTGATATATTTTCAACGACCCGCCAGCGAGAGAGAATTCTGACAGCAGGTCTGTTAATAAATTCTACATTCTGCATGAGAATTCGACCGCATGTCAGCGTGTAAAACGGTTTTCTAGCGTGTAAGATGTAAAATGTTAAATAACAGCGATTTTTTCAAAACATCGATCAACCCTAGAAATAAGTTGTTATTGTTATTTTATTGTTGGAGCGAGAGGCCGAAAAAAATCAGCTAACAAAAACAAAACGTGTGTGTGTTACAATTTATTTTTCTGTTTCGCCCAATTATATAAGGTGTGCGTGTGTGAGTGCTAGGGGTGTTGCAACCACTTAATTCGTCGTAAACAAAAGCGCTAATTGATAGAATATCAAAAAGGCAATGTGCAAAAAACTGTGGATGGGGCAGGGGCGAAGGGCGACAGCATGTCTGTCTCTTTTCCTCACTTGATACACAACAACAACTGGGCTATTCGAGCAACAGCTGTTCTTCCTTGGCTTAATTCCAATCAGAATTAAGTCACGTAGCCCGAGTTTAAAATTGTAAACAAGCCAGTCTTACAGCTTGGAATTGTAAACAACAAAGGGCTTTCTGCTGAATCGTTTTCCAGTGATTTCCAGAAGCTCCTGCCACAGTGTGCAAGTGTAATTTCTTTATTATTTACCTCAATTTGCATTGCCCCCAGTTGTTTTTCGCTGCCGGGTACAAAGTCCAATCTCCACTATCTACCATCCTCCCCTTCCCTCGCTTATTAAGTCTATTTATAGACCAGCGACAAACAAATTTCAATGCTAGAACCAAAATGGAAAGAAGAAACATTACATACATATAGATGTACACAGGTAGGCTGGATCAACTGGATCCTCAACCTTGACTGAGTGCAAAAAGCCACAAATAAAACGCACAAACAACCACACGCCGCCTAACGAGCTTGTTTACGTTTATTCAGCGCCGGCAACAACAGCATCCAGTGCATGCACAGTGGTCAAAAAGCGACTTACAATGCTCAGTTACTTTTGCTCTTATCAGATCAAAGTTTATAACAGCCACACTACGTGAGAGCTTAAGTTATCCAAACACAAAAGTGTGGAGCAACATTACGGGAGATAAACATTTCAAGATAGTGAAAACTAAAACATAACAGTTGAACAATCTTACTTCAGTTTGTTGGAACAAAAATAAAATCATAATTTAAATTTAAATCCCTCATTTATGTGAAAGTGAAACAAAAGTTAATATTTGATGTATTTTCAATACATAGTGAACGCTCGATAAAGTGAAATCAATAAAGACGCAAGTATTTATCATGTTTAGAACGTGTTCAATAGATTAACTAAACAAAGTTTCTTATAAAAATGTTTTATTTTTTATGTGAAATGAAAATTTTCAAAAGATATATTGTGCTGCGTTTCTTAAATACTTATCACTCCAGCCAGTGACCACTGTACTTGTCTGAGAATCTAAGCATGGCCGCAATCACGTTCAAGGCCACTATTTTCTATTCATTTTCTATTGCGTTGATGATGAATGCTCTCGCTCTTAACGGTTTTCCTGACCGCGTCGTCTGCTCAATGAAAAGCGTTTAAATTTAGATTCAATCAGCTGGTAAACTTGGAAAACTGCCCGTAGCCCAGAAAGCAATCCTACCAACCAGTAGCACCAATCTAAGCTCCCTCCCAGAACACACGTGTTCAGGGTGCGTTGCCATTTCCAATATTCGGCATGATAATTGTTTTGGAGGTGTGTGCCACACATAGACAGGTGGTTGGCTTCTATATACTCATACTCGAAGCGCTGATAATTCAGTGTTGTTTGCTTTTTATAATGAGCAGGGAACACAAACCAGTTGTGTGCTGGTGCGAACAAACAGCGAGTGCGGAGCCGAAGCCCCTCCAGAACGATCCATCTCCTATCTATTGTAAGACGCAGTTAGCTGCCGGGCCACTAACTTATCAATTCCAGCTGATTAAGCGGAGAACTTTAGAACAATCGCCGCTGACCAACATTTTAGCAGAATGTGTGGACTCCTCGGCATGTCCGAAGCAAAGTTCAATTGCCAAGTTCTAAAGGGGCAGCCGGTAGGTAGATAGAGCTCCTCCAAAAAGCAATTTAAAGTGCCTATTTTTGAACCTATGCCAAGGGAATGGCGGAATGCTTTTTTTTGCAATTACGAAACAATTGTGAGAGATGAAAATTTGCATGGACTTGCGAAATTATTTGTGTTATCAACAAATACACTGGCTCCAACATTAGATTGCTGCGCTCCATAAATACAGCTGTGTGCATATAGCAATAAACACTGTAAATCTAGTGTTTATTATTAAATTTTTGTACCCTCTATATCAGTCTAGTAATGTTGTTTACTTCAGGTGTTAATCATAGACATCTCTTTCACCCGAGTTCCAAAGTTGATAACTAACCGAACAGAAGTAATCACAAAGGCCAACCTCGACTCTTACGAAGATAATAAGCTTGCTAAATATAAAGTAAAATAAATGGCAAATTACTTGCTAATTACTTGTTTAACACAGTTTACGTTAAACAACAAAACGAATAATAAAATAAATAAGTTATTTAAGAGAAGAAAGGAGCTCAATTTCTAGAGATTTATATTTGAGCTTTAGGTAGGATTGGGTTACTAATGGAGGCCTATTTCTTCTGGATTTCTCGAAGTTAATAATATTGTAAATAATAAAATAAATAGGTACCAGTAATCTCTTATCGCAAACACTGAAGAGATAGTAAATATCTCTAAAGATTTCCGTGATAACTTCATTTCTTACCACTGTCTTAAACTAGAAGGAGCTCTTGGTAACAGCAAAAAGATGTTAGCTTTTCAAAATCGTTTACTTTATGAACTATTACTTTGGCCTATGCTGTCTTTATGTCTGCCCCCACATATGTCCGTATCATATAATGTCTCTGCCGTTGAAGACTTATAAACGCATAGCAATTTGCGGATAGATTTTGATTAGTTTTCGGCCATATTGGTCTCTTATCAGTTGTCGCGATAAGCCGTCAATATAGCCAGCTTGAATTGATATTCAAATTGATTTCAGGTTCCCCAGAGCCAGAGTCTGCCATGAGCCGTCTCCTGGAGAAGCCCAACATCGCCATGTCCATCAAGTCAACGGGTAGTCAGCTCTCGAGCACGGTGGCCACCACAGCTGCAGGGACATCACCATCCTCAGACGTGGATGATGCGGACACATTGCGCACTCATTCACTACCAACAGCAGCAGCAGCAGCAGTGTCCGCAGCAGAAGTAGCCAATACCACACCCGCCATCTCAGTCACGCCTAGTAAGTAAATCTTAGGATATATCATCTATTCAGTATATTAATAGTTCCCCTTTGCTTCTTTTCAAGTCCGCCACAAAATCGACCAGGTCGTGATCAGCCTGGTTTCTGGAGCGGCGGCGGGAGCATTGGCCAAGACAGTCATCGCCCCGCTGGACCGCACCAAGATTAACTTCCAGATCCGCAACGATATTCCCTTCTCATTTCGCGCATCACTGCGCTACCTGCAGAATACCTATGAAAAGGAGGGCGTCCTGGCCCTGTGGCGAGGGAACTCGGCCACCATGGCCAGGATTGTGCCCTATGCCGCCATTCAGTTCACGGCACACGAGCAGTGGCGTCGCATTCTTCATGTGGACAAGGATGGATCCAAGTAAGTGCTGGCTTTTTGCTTGAAATTAGGATACTAAGTTACTTGCTTCTTGTTTCAGCACTAAGGGTCGTCGCTTCCTGGCCGGTTCGTTGGCAGGCATCACCTCACAGTCGCTGACGTATCCTCTGGATTTGGCTCGCGCCCGCATGGCTGTCACGGATCGGTACACCGGCTATCGAACGCTGCGTCAGGTCTTTACCAACATCTGGGTGGAGGAGGGGCCACGAACCTTGTATCGCGGCTACTGGGCCACTGTCCTTGGTGTGATTCCATATGCGGGAACTTCCTTCTTTACGTATGAGACGCTCAAACGGGAGTACTATGGTGAGGACTCACATATTTCACTTATTTAAAATTGAAATAATTTGTTTATATATTGTGCTTTCAGAAATGGTTGGCAGCAATAAACCCAATACTCTAGTCTCGCTGGTTTTCGGGGCTGCGGCTGGTGCGGCTGGTCAAACGGCCAGTTATCCGCTGGACATTGTGCGACGAAGAATGCAGACGATGCGAGTAAACACGGCCAGCGGAGATCGCTATCCCACTATCCTGGAAACCCTCGTAAAGATCTATCGGTAAGTAAGAGTTATATTTTTTTAAATAGGGTAAATTTAAGATTATTCTTTGATTTCTAGCGAGGAGGGCATTAAGAACGGCTTCTACAAGGGCCTTAGCATGAACTGGATCAAGGGTCCCATTGCTGTAGGCATTAGTTTCTCCACCTACGATCTAATTAAAGCCTGGTTAATGGAGCTGTCGCACCTAAAACGCGGCCGGGTCGAGCACTAGCCCATGTCCAAAAACCACCCAGTCCCATCCGCCACAAAACACACCAAAAACGCACTGCTTTGTTCTTAAGTCTCATCATAATCGATGGAGGAGCTGTAAAGCTGGAAAGGAGGAGTGCATTACAGACGACATGCTCTAATTGTTAGATATTTTTTAGACGTTAGTTGTGAGAGAAGAAAGGCGAAAAGAGAAGAATGCACCCGGAAGCGCTTACCTTTTGTTATTAACCATAATGGATTTATTATCGCTTTAAGCCGAAAGTATATCAGCCAATAAAATATTTTGGACTCGCCACTACTCCCAGGATCCCAACTCCGCGGGCTCCACTTCGTTTTCAATGGCGATATTTGGACAATAACTTAACCCTTTTACTACGCCACTCGTTTACTCTTAGAATAATGAATTAATTGAACATTTTGTATATTGTGTATGTTTGCTTCCCCCCTCAATGTCAATATGCCTTGATTGTAAAAATTGCCATGAATTTATGGGTGTTCACCAGCGAAATCATCTTATGCATATACTACTGTAATTATTGTATGTTAGTGTGTTTTTTATTATTAAAATAAATTTACAAAATTGTTTAAAACGGTGGCTTTTGATTAATTCTAAAATTTTTCACTACTTTTCTTGTTTCCTACAACGCAATTTTCTTTACATAAACATTGTTGTAGTTATTTTTATGGTTAATTTTAACATATATGAAATTTTTGAATTTTTAACGACAAATTGAAACCAGTTTCATTAAATGGCGTTGCCACTGTTTATTAATTACAATTTCTGGTATTTTCCGGTATTTATGAATGGCTCGCTGGAATATTTAAGCGCTCCAGCCACTGGAGCCAGGTCATACTGCCGCAAGCACAAGTAAGTCAGTGCTGCCAAGTTAAAACAATCAGTGCAAAAAAGGCTAAAAAGGCTAAATTAAATAGTTAATTTATAAATTTAATAACCAGCAACGGCATAATATTTTAAAATTAGTTTTCTCTTTTTTATATTTTTTTGGCCTACTCAAATTTTGGTAAATTTTATTGGTGTATTGGGGTATAAATATTAGGAGAAACAAGTAAATCAACTACTACTATTATTTATAACATATTTTGTATTTTTAAAATTTTTTGTTTTTTAGACAAATAGACAATAAAACGAAAAGTTGATTTGACAGTTTCCTTATTTCTTTCCTATGCTAAAATTAAAATGTAAATAAATCTTGTCGATAAAAATAGATTGAATATTAATATTTTTTATAAATACTGTACTATATTTAACTTGTACAATACATAATAAAATATGCTAGATGAAGCTATTTTATAGCTAGAATCTAGCTGCAAGCTTATAGAGCTTTTCCATTTTTAGATATGCCAGATGTAGCTTAAATTAAGCTAAGCTGGCAACACTGAAGAACGCAGAAAAACAAATTCTTGCAAGTTTTATATCCCAGTGAATAAAAAAGTGTAAATTGCAATCGAAAATAGCCAAGCCGCGTGTTGCATGCGGTCCTTGCATTTGTCGAAGTGGTGTCAACGTTTTTCACCAGCCCCGGCGCAGATGCCATAACCAAAAAGCGATCGGAATTGTCGGCAGGTGAGTCTTCTTGGACCAAGAGTGGGGAAAAATTAATTATTTAAGGTCTATTGATTTTGCGGGTGGGGGAGAGCTCATCCAACGCCCTCCTGTTGCTATTAACCGCCCACCGCCCCCCGCCCTTGTGGACGGAATGCCGATTGGACGGTCGCTTGTTGCTGCGCACAACAGGTGAACTTGAACTTTAAGGTCCGTCCTTATCTTAATTCGCAAGTACATACAAGTCGCAGAAGCACACATTTATTACTGTGAATGTGCTAAACTCCCATTGAACATGTAATTCCTCATTATTTTTGAACATCAATTCCAAGAAACGCAAATTCCTTTTATAAACAATTCATGCACAATTTTGTAGGCTATAACGCCATCTCGCTCCCCCTTCCCTCTCGCTGAAGAAAACCATAACATAGCAGAGCACATTTTGGTATTTATTTGTTTTGTTTGTTACAATTATTTTTGATGGTGCTTAGTAATGTTTTATTTAAAAAGTATTAATGTAAAACTGGACTGTACGCAGCCAAAAAGCTAATTTTGTTACAATGCTAATTTAACATAGCTTTATATTGGCGCTTTACTGATTTTTCCGGTATAATACCTTATTTCCTGCAGGTCTAGCGGGCATACTGATTACAAAAAATAAGGTTTAATCACTTTGCCTAAAAAGATTGTTTTTATTTAGTTTTTCATTAAAATTATATTCATTTTTATAAAATTTGCCAGTTAGTACCATGTACTCTCCCAATTCCACAACCTCTTTCGGTATTTTTTCTGTACCAAACACACTGGCTTGCTGTTTTGCCGGTGATGAGGCCTCGAACAAGCTAAATTCTGGAAAAGAACTACTAAAAAATATGAATTAACTAAAAACCAATGTCAATATAGAAATGCAAGAAAACATTTTACGTTCTTATGTCTTAAATTTAATTAATTTGGTGTGTTAATATAGCTTTTGTTTTGGGGCCGTCCCTAAATATGCCGCCAATAAACCAATAAATCCAAAAACGCAGTCAATTCTGTTAATTAACATCAGCCCGACAGCAGCGAGAGAGCATTCTGTTCATGAGAGCAGGTCTGTTAATAGGTCTGAGATAGGTCTGTAAAGGTGTAAAAGTTATCCATATGTGTAAAATGTTAAAACATCTGTTAACTAACATCCACCCGATAGAACCCGAGATTGGGAGCAGGTCTGTTAATCAATTTTACATTCTACATAAGAATTCGACCCTAAAAATGTGAATTTGGAGCCGTGTATCTATAACCGTGTAGAATGGCTTTCTAGACATGTAATGTTAAATGTTAAACAAGTCTTGGAAATCAGAGTGACCAGAGCCAAGGTATGAAAAAAGATCAACAAAAGTATTGGTGTGTCGGGATTTTAATAGATTTTCAAATCTCAAAACCAACTTTCGAGTGCGCAACTAGTTGTAATTTTCACCTTCTACGCTATTCCACGCGTCTCTTCTACGTCTACCTACCGTCTAGTTTCGGCTAGTGTCTAGGATTCCAGTTTACCTTAAAGCCAGGATTCGGGACTCCCTTAAGTACGGGGCGTGGGCGTCGTGTGTGTGCCGTGTACGTGTCTCTCGGCTTACGTGTGTGCGTGCGCGATTTAAAAATAAACCAGCAAATACATAACAAATTATCGAAGAGCAACCAACACAAACAACCAAATACAAGTGTTTACACTTTGTTGTGCGTCGGTGTTTGTGTACCAAAGGTAAATAGAAAATAGAGAAGAAAAAAGACCAAAAAACATGGGGGGCAGTTTGTTGTGGGTGTGTGTGAAGGACGTGGTCTCCACTGCACTCATGCACTGCGCAACACGGTGTGGGTGGGCGTAGGGCTGATGGATGGGTGGGCGAAACCACCCACAGGAGCCTTCTCGAAGGTTGAAGGCTATTTGCATTTTAGCCAAGAAACAAATGCAGCCATCATGTGTTTCCACTTGAGGCCTTTTCTTACACACACATACGCTAATGCAAACACACATGTGTTGCGCCCTGTTGTTTTTGTTGTTGTTGTTTTTCCGCGCTCCTGTTTCGTATTCTTCTTCGTTCATTGTTATTTCCTGGAAAATCCATAAAAACAAAGGCAACAAGAATTTCGAGTGCAATAGCACAAACAGCAGCAACAACACAAGAAGCTATCGAGTATATTAGCCACTCGTCCCTCTCCGTGACCGTGCCCCGTTAGGGCTCCCCGTCCTGCTCCCACTCCCGAGCAATCTCATATTCACATGCTACTCTTGCTTTCACACAAACATATTGTGCTGTATGTACGTCGCTGACTTCTGCGCGCTCAACACTTTTATCTTGCTCACTGTCGTTGGCCACCGCCGCTCCTCCTGCTCCACCCCATCTCCTCCTTTATCACCTCCGCGTCCTCCTCATTCTCCACGTTATTCGTTCGCTGCTCGCACAGACGACTTCTTGGCCATAACTTGGCTATAACGCGGCTGCCTCTTACCATTTCGGACAAATTACGATTGTCAGCGACGCTAAGGTTAAACGCCTTTGGCCGCAGGTTGCGTTTCACATTTGATAAGTCGCGGAAAGCGAACGCTGAATTAATATTAGTCACTCTGCTAGCTTAATCGATGGCTAACTAGTTGGGAGATATATTTCGATTTAATTGGGGTTAGCAGGGGGAGATTTAATAACTAAATTAGTTAAGATGTTAATGATAATTTAAAAAGTTTTGCGATCTAATATTTTCTTACCTTTAAATAGCTGTACTTTTTGGGTTATTTTCGAATTTTATTCTTAATCTTAATCAGTTTTTAAAATTTTTCTTTATTGTATTTATTTAAATATAATACAGCATTCGTAGATATCACTAAAATTCCAATCCCCATAAGATATTTCTGAATCTTAAATATATGGAATACCAATTATTTTGCGATTATGCGAATCAGTCTTCTCAAACGCAATTGCAAAACTTCTCCTTATCGCCCACACCTCTTCCTCCCCTTATTTACTTGGTTACATTCCCATCGCCTTATCAAAAAGCAGCTTATTGCGTTGCATTTAATTGTAAATGGAACAGAGTCCTCAGCCATACACGATAGACAATATTCGCAGGCAACCGTTTATTGGGGTGGCCAATCTAATGTACTTACATTTTTTTACGTCCGCTTATCGGGGAGGTGTCCGTTTTATGCTCTTCTGTAGAGTTAATCACTGCTCTTGGTCTGGTTATAGCGCTAGAACAAATCAGGCAGAATCAGAAGTATAGCACTCAAAAATCAGTCGATTTTGAGTGTTTGTGGTGTCTCGGAAATGACGTTCCTCTTTTGATATGAAAATGTAAAGGGAGCAGAGTAAAGAGGCACACAGCGATACCCTGTTATTTTATTTTTTTATACATATGCTATTTTGACAACTAGGAGTGTTTCGTGTCTTGCGTGGACACTTCCCTGTAAATATGTTTGTTGGATTCTTAAGGATTTTGGGAAATTTTGCTTACTTTAATCTGAAATTATTCGGTTTTGAGGACTCTTTTTTATTGGTTTGAAAATAATTTGTAATATTTTATTATTCAAAATCGTGAGAAACTCTCCGGATGCACAATGTACGCAAATTTACGAATACATGGTTTTATTTAAGAATTCAAGTATTTCAGGCAGAAAATAATATAGTTTTTTAAATGGTTCAAGGTGACATTTATGATTCTCAAAAATCCTATATATTTAGGGCACAATCTGACAATTTTGTTCTGTGAAAAAATCTCTCAAATGTCAGGGGCAAATCAGTTGTTAGTAGCTTCGTCACTTAGCCTTAATAGATTTTGTATCAATCTACTGATAAGAATTTTCTAATGCACAATAATTTTATAAATGACCAAGAATTCTTAGAAAATTACGTGAAATTCTAAGAAACGAAGACCATTTAACGAAAAATATGTCGTTGGTCGGCAGATAGCCTGCCCTGACCTCCTGTCTTGCGACACGTGCCAATCATTATTCTATCTGAGTGAGTCGTCAGGGACACAAATGTGGCGCAAAAATGTACATATTATTTCTCTTGTTTATAAAAATCAAAGTCTCTTCTAAATGAATCGTTAATTGGAGTTCAACAGAATCTATAAGTCGACAACTGATAAGAGAAAGGTAAATCACCGGCTTAATGTATTAGCCTCCTAACCTTTTGTTAGCTTGATCCCATCCCTTCTGACACAACTCCAACAGGTTCAGGTGATATGGCTCTGGATTCTGGGTAAACAATAAATGGGTCTGGCCAACTGGCAACAATGCCGAATATACCCCATTCGATGCCGCAGTGCCTTAGCATGGGAAGCGATAGCCGACAAACATTGTGCAAAATGTCAGGCGAGCGGCAAACGATAAATGATTACTTAAATAACACTTGGCGGGGTAAAGAGCTCCAGGAGGAGGTGTAGGAGGAGGAGAAGGCGGCATCTCTGGGGTTCGTTGGGGTTCTTCGAGTTGTCGCTGCAATGGTGGTGGAGCGGGGTCCATTGTCGACGTACGACGTGTACCCACACAACAACCAAACACTGAGGCATGCTTATTAAACTTTTATGAGTGCAAAAACAAATACCACAAGGCGTTTGTGTGTGCGTATGTGTGCCTGCGTTGTTTATAAAAAATTGAATAAGAATATGTACGAAATGTACAACGACTGCCGGCTGGCACAAATGTCGAAGCAGCAAAAACCAAAAAGAGGCAAACAGCAAAAAAGGAACACTGAACCATAACAGAGCCCCAGGATGCTTGGGGATTTGGAGGTTTCGGTTTTGGCCAGGAGTTAGAATCTACCAAGGGACCGTGAAAATTACAACGGGCCCTAACATGTTATACATTTAATATTACCCTTTTCGCTTTACTATCCTAGAAGGGTATTTAAGTTGTAGTCTGAATTTGGCAACGCAATGATGGAGTCATTTGCGATTTTATGCAGAATATATGTTTATTCTTGACAGCCGAGTTGATCTAGCCACACAAAATTTCCAATTTAAAATCAAGGATTTTTATATCTAAT